ATGTAAGTATACGACGACAGACATTGTGTTTTGTTTTATTGGTACGCGGCACACTGCACATCTTGAGTCTTTTCTTCAGTTTAATTTAAAAATCATCGACAACAAGTAAATGTTATTGTTAACGATAAATTTAGAATTAGAAATTCGTAAGAAACTAGTAATTTCTTTTTGTTCTTAAATTGCTAATGTTCCTATTATTGTTCCTGTTCCTAATACTGTGTCCGACCCACCTGAAATCCCTGTCCTAATCCAATATTTTTGTTCCTTATTCCTGAACAATCATTTTATTGTTCCTAAATCCCTGTCCTAATCCTTTAATTTTGTTCCTATTTCCTGAGCAATTTTTTTTTGTTCCTAAATTCCTGAACAATCTTTTTATTGTTCCTAAATCCTTTAATTTTGTTCCTAATTCCTGAACAATCTTTTATTGTTCCTAAATCCCTGTCCTAATCCTTTAATTTTGTTCCTAATTATCAATTTTTTGGTTCCTAAAAAATCTTGCCCCCCCCCCTCACTTAAATCCTGTATCCGCCCTGGATCTGATGGAATAGATACTCTCTACCTGGTGAGATCTTCTGATGTCGTCTTCTTTCTTCAGAACTTTACTGGATTCCTTTGGCCGTCTTCCACCATCGTGATTCCTCCTGATGATCATCCTGAGCATGTGAATGAGACTCTCACCTCCTCTGATCCACAACTTGGAGTGCTGATTGGTCTGACCGAGCTGCCTCCAACTGGACAACGCAGATTTTCGAGGACTTATGTCGGAACGTCACATGCTGTAGACGTGTCCTGTTAAGGTGAAACTCATCTTCACGAGAAATATATATAACAATCTTGACGAACAGGATTTTAAACCCCGTATTGTTTAGATTCCTCAAGACCAGAGAACAATATCAAGGATGTCGTCTTTCCCTTGTTTCTCCGATACTCTCCTTCACTGCTTTAAGGATTGCACCTGAAGGTACACTGCAATTTCTGTGCTAATATTTTGATAAGTGATCTATAAGCTTATCTTTTGTCGATCAAACCTCACCGAGAATTCTCTTTTAGACTCGAAAGGACTCTGAATAAAGCATAAGATAATCTCTCTCTGAACTGTAGCTCATATCAAGACCCCAGCCCGAGCAACTTTGTAAGTGTGTTTTTAAATACTGAACATTTTACTAATATGATTTTTAGTGACTTAAAATCTAAATTTCTTTATTGAGACCTGGAGCTTTTTGTAAACATATACGTATATATTTTGTTATATTATAATAATTTAATTTCAGTTCACAGTGTGAGAGCTGAAGTTGAGGATAACCTACTTCAATAAAGCTATATAAACATAACACTCGTGTATTAATGTGGTGCGCTGGTTATAAGGGAATACTCGCCCTGGATATGAGTGAGCTTTTATGTTTTTAAAGTCTCAAAAACAACGTTACGAGTACACTGATCCTGTCCCCTGTTTAGTAGGGCACCCTGTACCTGATCCTGTTCCCTGTTTAGTAGGACACCCTGTATTTGATCCTGTCCTCTGTTTAGTACGGCACCCTGTACCTGATCCTGTCCCCTGTTTAGTAGGACACCCTGTACCTGATCCTGTCCCCCTCATTGACCAGCCTCCTGAGGGAAGGTGTGGTAAAGACCGGTATTCTCTCCACCACCTTCTCATCAGGATAATCATCATCCCTGGCACCCACCAACCCTAGCACCAAGCACACCAGAACCAACCTAACCATCCAGCATTCTACTTCTGCAAAATATATATATCTTTGCTACATAAATTTTACGTATTTACAATGGGGAAAAAAGTGAATTTCAAAAATCACATTTTTTATAAATACTACTTTTGATAAGATAGAAATGCCCAATTAACTGCGATCGATATATAATGATAATTAACTGCAAACTGCAAAGAAAGACAATAATTTTAATATTTTTAAAATGCATTAAAAATCAAACTTAAAGAATACTAGTTTTGATAAGTCCTTGGTCTTCTTATTGAAGAGAGGACCCCTGTCTTCTTAATGGAGTAAAAACCCCTGTCTTCTTATTGGAGTAATACCCCGGTATTATTGAAGTAATAACCCCGGTTTTCTTATTGGAGTAATAACCCCGGTTTTCTTATTGAAGTAATAACCCCGGTCTTCTTATTGAAGTAATAACCCAGGTCTTTTTATTGGAGTAATAACCCCGGTCAATTCTTATTGAAGTAATAAGCCCGGTCTTCTTATTGAAGTAATATCCCCAGTTTCATTTTGAAGTAATAACCCAGGTTTTCTTATTGAAGTAATAACCCCGGTCTTCTTATTGAAGTAATAACCCAGGTCTTTTTATTGGAGTAATAACCCCGGTCTTCTTATTGAAGCAATAACCCCGGTCTTCTTATTGAAGTAATAACCCAGGTCTTTTTATTGGAGTAATAACCTCGGTCAATTCTTATTGAAGTAATAACCCCGGTCTTCTTATTGAAGTAATATCCCCAGTTTCATTTTGAAGTAATAACCCAGGTCTTCTAATTGAAGTAATAACCCCGGTCTTTTTTATTGGAGTAATAACCCCGGTCTTCTTACTGGAGTAATAACCCCGGTCTTTTTATTGTATTGAAGTCACGTCCCCAGTTTTAATATTGAAGTAATAAACTAAGATCCAGCTTGTAGCGAAGAATACCGGAGAGAATAAACTCTTTATCCATAACAGGAACCCTGCTCTTCTTAATCTTAACCAGACTCTGCTTGTCCTCTGGGCAGGAGAGAACGTAGACCCCTTGGTCCTTGGTGGTGGGCGGGGAGGGGAGGTACACACCCCCGGAGTAGGTGATTATATCCTTGAACTGAACCGGGGGCGGGTTTACCTAAAAATTTTAAATGAAACTCTTCAATGTTTATTATTATTATCAATAATAATACAATAATGATGAAAAAATCATGAAAAACATGATAGTAAATAGTAAAAATAACAAGAAAATAATTATCAAATTATAATCATTACAATGATAATAACATTTATACTAGCAACAAAATAACAATAACAATCACAACCACACTAACAATAACCACAATAATTTTATCAAATCAGATATTAAGAAAAGTCCTACACCTACTTCTATCTCCCAAAATTAATTAAAAAGAATGAATAAAAAAGTAAAAATAACAATAATAAAAACAGTAAAAATAACAATAAAAAACTATGACAATAACCATATTTACCTTTCTGGTGACATGAATAGAAACTCCCTTGAGAAGCCCCTGCCTAGCCGCCTGCTGAAGAGTGGACTCTAACTTAAACCCCCATTTCTTTTCATTCTCGTCATCCTAATCGTTTAAACATATTTTTTTCTTCTAAATTCCAGCTTTTTCTTGTTGTTGTATTGAGCATCCGTTTTTTTCACGTGGGGCCCATTAAATTGTGGATAAGGAAGACTGGTGTTAAACCCAACTTTAAAGCTTAAATATGTAGTCCAATTAACATTTAATGGATTGCGCAGAAACTTCCGAACAAATTTATGTTTTAAAAGAACTCTACACATATTAAAATCCTAACTTAAAGAGACTGTAAAGGAAAAATGAAAGGGGGGTATGGGCTGAAACCTGCGAATCTCAGTAGTTAAACGATACCTATAAGACGTCTATCTAATGTTCCTGTCTCAAGAAAAGGCACTTACTCCAATGGCAGTGCAGTATACTGGTCAGACAAAAATAGCACATTTATTGGTTGGAATTCTGGACACATGATCCGGACGTATGAATAATATTATCAATTATATCATGAATAATGAGAATTTTTTAAATTTAAATATTAATAGGAGCAAACCTGAGTTTCTCAGGCTCCTCTGTGATATCGTCATTTTCAGATTGGTTGCGCATTTGTTGAATATGATCTGTTTAGTAGTACGAATCTTATACAAAATCTTACATAAATACGTGTTGGTATAATTTTGACACCGTTTTATATCAATATCTCGAGACAGGAACGTCAGATAGAACTCTTATAGGTCTCAATCAACTCCGGAGATTCTCAATGGTAAGATAAAAAATAAAGTTTAATGGTTCTCACTGTCAAGATTGTTCAGCTTATGTGTGGCTCTACAAAAACGTTTTAATTGGCAAACTTCAAAATACTTTTCTCTTTGGGGTTGCTTTTCTTACATCTGACAGAAGACGAGCAAAATTACTCGTTCCTAGAGGAACTATTTAAAAAAAAAATTCAGTCTCGTATCTACTGACAAACAAACGTTTCTACTTTCTAGGTTATAATTAGAACTTTTTTGTTGGACTCTTTTTCTTTAAGGCTCCTGGGAGGCAAACCCCTTAGATAAACCAGAAAGAAGGCTCGCACTAATTTATGATCAGAAGTCAACTGAGCATAAATACAATGCTATCCTCTCCAAAGTTGTAAACTATTAGTTAAATGTTTAATTCCTTTAGAATGAAGCCCCAAGGATCAAGGAAGGTGCCAGAAGCTTTGGACTGCGAGATCCAGGCAGGAGAAACTATAGGAACTCCACGTGCAACCATACACAGGAACTTGGCAGTTCGCCGAATTTTATCCGTCACAAGGACAGTACAGTCAGAGATATTCTCAGAGATAACTTCACCACCTGCAAGTACAAAACACAGGGTGAAATAAACTTTTCCGAGACAGCAGAGAGATATAACCAAAATTAAAATTAAAATTAAAATTAAAATTATTTATCTATGAGAAGTCCTTGTCTATGAAATGTCCTGTATATGATATGTCCTGTTTATGAAAGTCCTGTTTATGAAATGTCCTGTTTATGAAATGTCCTGTTTATGAAATGTCCTGTTTATAAAATGTCCTGTTTATGATATGTCCTGTTTATGAAATGTCCTGTTTATGAAATGTCCTGTTTATGAAAAAAAAAAACAGTTTTATGGTAAGACATTTTCTGAAATTCTGGCTTTGATTTTAATTTTAAGGGACTGTAATTTTTAGCTTTGTCTGTTCAGAAATGAGATATCAATAATCTTCTCTTTAAAAGTTTGTTATTTTGTGGTTTTTCCATAACTGACTTGCGCAGTACATTATTGATCAGAGAAAGTTTTAAAAGGCACCTTTCTTTGTGAATCTGGCATTCCCTTTTTTAATAAAAGGTTACTTGAAATTACAACCAGCAGTCCCTTTAAGAAATAATGAGTTTACCTAGGTCAAGAACAATCTGGTTTTCTTTCTCACAGAAATATCCAGTGAAGAGAACCTTGCATTTCTTCACCAGGGTGGCTCTTCTCAGAGCAGGAGATCCACACAAGCTTGCGTCATGATCCACCTGCTCACTAGGGGATAAACCTTTGCTCAGTTTGGGCCGGCGGACGATTTCGCTGGAGTTTGATTCCATTTTACGCTTTACAGATTTTCTTTCAGAAGAAGTATGATCATTGAATTGTGGAGTTTGAGATTTGATTTCTTCCCGATTCTCTGATATCTCTTGTACTACAGGATTGCTTTTGGAACGTTTCTTGTCAGTCTTAGAGGTAGTTGAAGTATCATTGCTGGGAGCAGGAGAAGGATGAGAAACTCCACGGCTAGATCTAGTACTAGTATCTACAGTGCTTTTTGTAGTATCTAGAGACGTTTTGCGTTTCCGTCCCAGTCTTTTTGAACCCAACTCAACTGCGGGTTCGATAAGTTCAGTCTTTTCTTCTCCTATTATATTTCCTCGCCCTTTTCTTGAACTTGCGTTTCGCTTTCCATCTGCATTCTCTGTGCCAGGCTTTTGAACTGGCGATTCTTCTTTAAGATCTTCGTGACTTTTTGATTCAAGTTTTGTAAGGATTGAGTTATTACCTTTTTTGGAGACACCCTTTCGTCTTATTGAGCCAGTATCAAGGAGTTTAATCTCATCTTCATTTCCGTCATTTATCTTTCTTCTTTTGCCTGAACTTGCTGAAACAATTGGTTGATCTTCTTCTTCTTCTTCCTTTTCCTTATCCACCTGTACATTTATTCTGCTTTTCCCTCCTCTTTTGCTTTTCCTTTCAACAGAGCTCTCTAAATTTGAAGCTTTATCAGGATTCATATTTTCATCTTCTGCTATTTCTACTTTTTCTTCATTACTCTTCCCTCGCTTTCCTCTTGTTTTTCTGACATTAGGTTCAGGTATAGAAATTGATATGTCATTTTCTTCTTTCGTTTGATCAATCGCTTTCGTTTCAGTTTCCGATTCATTTTTACTCCGGCCTCTTAGGCCTTTTCCTTTATTGGAGGTTTCAGGAGTTAAGTTTGATTTAACATTAATTCTCCCTCTTCTTCCCACTTTGATGGGTTCTAACCCTGCATCTTCTTCCTTTGCATTTTCTGTTTTCACTTTCCAACTTTTGATTGATCTCCTCTGGTTTAATATTTCAGGTTCATCATGAGATACAGTGGAAGCAGTTTCAATAGACTCACTACGTTCAACATGTTCTGCAGGGTTGGTGTTAGTCTCAGGTTTGTCCTGCTTACTCAGGCTTTTTATTGAGGTTTCTCTCCTGGAAGATTTTCTTTTTCCTGGCTTTGAAATTTCATTATGATCCTCCTCCTTCGTTGCTTCAGTCTTCAATATTTCATTAACCTTTTCAATTTTGGATTTTCTTTCAGCACTTTTTCTACCACGCTTAGCTTTTCCTTCCTTTACAGGTTTATTACAAATTTCCGAATTATCTGAAATATCTGAATCTTTTTTGTCAAGTTTCTTCTGCTCTTTAGAGGGTTTGGAAGCTGAAGACGGTTCAAGTTCCGGAGACGGTTCAGGAGAAGGTTCAGGAGAAGGTTCAGAAAAAGGCTCAGGAGAAGGGTCAGGAGAAGGTTCAGGAGAAGGTTTTACCTGGGTTAGATCATCAGAGATGTCAACATTCGATTGTTCACCTGAAAAAAGTTAATAAATGAAAATTGTGCCACACAGAAATTAATGTAATCTTCTCTCCTTCTTGTAATAAAATTGTAATTTAGTAATTTCTTTCTTGTAACTGAAAATAATCCATGGAGATTTTTTATCTAAAACAAATTTAACATCCTTAGCAACATTTCAGAAATAAAAACCTGCAGGTGAAAATCATTCTATTGCTGAAAGGTTTAAGTTTATAGACTTTCAGAAAACAAAATTGAATTATGAAAAAGTAAGGGAAGAGAATATGGGGGGAGGGAATGGAAATAAATTTTTAGTTCAAGGCCGGGACTCTTACAGGTTTTCCTGCTTCAAAATCCTACTTGAACAGGCAAAGGTGTGAATCAGACATTGCCATCTTGCATGGAGGGTCACTTGAAATTATGCTTACAGCCCCTTTAATAATCCAACATTTACCCACCTGGAAACAATATCTCCGAATCTCGACTATCTTCATCGATGTTCAGAACGCTTTTTGTAGATTCAAGATCGGTCTTTGAGGCAGGTTTCTGTTTTAAGGACTCCTCCTGAAGTATCAAACCTTCCCGCTCAGAGCTGTTTATAACTATGCTTGGCCGCTGTTTCCGTTTCTGGTTTCTAGGTGCGGGATTTGGAGAAGATTCTAAAACTGCTAACATCCGGCGGGACGTTTTCTTATCCGGAGCAAGTTTGGAGATCGAGGTTTCAGGAATATTTTCTTTAAGCTTTTTATCTTCTTCCATCTGTCCGGGATTAGGATCAGTTTCTTGGTCTAAAACTGCTCTACTCCAACGGGACGCTTTCTTTTTATCAGCCGGTTTGGAGAGAGAATCATGTTTAGTTTCTCCGGGCCCCAGAACTTCTTCCGTCTGAGTCTGAAGTTGGCCTTTCCTTCCTCTGGAGCCCTTTTCGGTCGTTAAACTGTTCCTATTGGACGCTTTTGGCTCAGGGCCGTTTTCCAGAGATTTTTTAGTAGATCTCCTAGATCTTCTTCCTCTACCTAGTTCTTCTTCATTTTCTGCTTTACTTGGCTTAACTTCGTCTTTTGATGGTTCTGGTTTATCTATAGATTTAATACCATGCAAAAGCCTACCGACTATTTCTTGTGTTTCTGGAAGTAAGGGACCACTGTCCGGCTTCTCTTGACAACTGGGAGAATTATTAACTCTTTGAGGAGTTTCAACGATTTGCGCATTTTTGGGTTGGACCGGAGTTTTCGCAACGATTAGAGAATCAGATTTGAGTGGGACAGAATTATCAGACTCGGAGGCTAATTCCTGCGGAAGTGGAAGTACATCTTTATCTTTTTCGGGTTCTAGAACCGAACCATCGACGTCCTCATCATCACTCCCAATACCCATAGATTCATAGAGTTTTGAGGCTACACTTCCTGATCTAGAACTCTTAGAAATGATGGGAGAGTCAAGATCAGAACTCTCAAGGCAAAGTCGCAAGGACCGATTTTCTACGCTTTGACTCTTGCATATAATTGGAGAGCTAGTTTCCTCTTGAACAGGACTAGGGTTAGCACTCTTAATCTTAGGGTTTTTGGATCTTGGTGTTTTCAAAATAGATCCAAGTGATCCTTGTGAGTTTGCAAAAACAATGTCTGTTGCTACCATCGTAGTTTGCTCCATGGAGAGCGTAGCATAGTTAGTTTCTGTTAGTATCCCTCTAACCCCTGCTACCCTATGAGGGAGGCTGTCCTGAGAGGAAGAAATAATCATGTTTGAATCCTGTTTATCCAATTTAGGAATATTAACTTCAGAATTATCTGTCTTAGTTATTTCTGAAATCTCTGTTATCTTATTTTCTCCAGGAAGGCTTGCATGAGAACAACTAGGATGGGTTTTGTTGAGCATAACTGTTTGCTCCATAGAAAGTTCGGCATAGTTTGTTCCATTAAATATTCTCCGTGAGCTCGGTTCAGATGCTTCCTGGGAGGTGGCAACAATCATATCTGAATCCTGTTTATTGAGAACAGGTGCAGTTTTCACATTTGATTCTTCAGCTATACTTGTTTTGATTCCTGAAGTGTTAACTACAGCTCGAATTTCAACCTCATGAGATTTGATCAAAGAATCTGAATGAGTAATTTTACCAGGCTCTAAATTAATAAAATCATGCTCAGCTTCGGCTTTAGTGTCTGCTTTGGTTTCAGTTTTATTGGTCTCTTCAGTATCGTGTTCAGCTGTGGTTTCCTGTTTATCTGCTGCCTCCTGTTCAGTTGTGGCTTCATTGTTAATTGTGGCTTCATTTTCAGTTGCAGCTTCATGTTCAGTTGCAGCCTCATTGTTACTTTTGGCTTCATTTTCAGTTGCAGCTTCATTTTCAGTTGCAGCTTCATTTTCAGTTGCAGCTTCATGTTCAGTTGCAGCTTCATGTTCAGTTGAAGCTGCATGTTCAGTGTCATCCCCATGTTCAGCTTCATCAAATTCAGTAATCCCAGTAGATTCAGCTTCAGCTCCAGATATTTCTTCTGCATTGTTCTCATCCTCTTTATCATTTACCAGAGAATCGTATTCACCATCCGAAAGATATTCCAGAAGATTCTGAGACATTTCATTTTCATCTTCCTCTTCCTCAACCGGGTTCTGGTAATCCTCAGTTTCCTCCTGGGTTCCAGGGACCAGGCTCACATAACTCAGATTACACAAGGACGGATTATAAGATCCATTCTCAAGATCATCTTTGTCTCCAGGCTGAGCAAGGATTACAGTTGGGGCCTCTGTTTTGTCAACAACCCTAGTCCTCTCGGTGGTAAAAGGTTCTTGTGTTGCAGCCAACAATAGATCACTGTCATCAAAATTATCTTCTACTTCAAATACAGAATCATCTACTGTTCCCTTTATTACTTGAGAAGTGGAATCGTCAGTTACATTCTCTGCATTTATCATACTAGACCCTACATTGCCAGCTTTAGGGGAAGCAGCTGCGTTTACATCGTCAGCTTCGGTGTCCACTGCTAGACCATCGTTAGTTTGATTGTCGGCTGCTAAAACATCTACAGCTTGAGAATCAGCTGCCAAAACAGCTTGAGTGTCCGCTCCTAAAACAGCAGTATCGACAGTCTGAGTGTCAACTGCTAAAATTTCAGATTCCGACAGCTTACTGACAGCTTGGATTGGAAAAAACATTAGCTCTGAATCTGACAGCTTACCGACAGCTTGGGTTGAAGCGATTAACAGTTCAGATTCCGACAGCTTATTAACAGCTTGTGTTGGAACAAGCATCAGTTCGGAATCTGACAGCTTATTAACACCTTGGGTAGGCGCTGTTAACAGTTCTGAATCCGACAGTCGGCTCTTATCGGTGAATGTTGTGACTTCAGTCTGATTAAGTCCAGATTTATCCTGGTTTTCCCTCAGGTTGGACTGTTCAATGCTTGCATCTAATCTAGTGCTACAATTCGACCCAGAGAATAAATCATCTTCATCTAGACTATCCTCGACCCGGTGAATTTCAGAGACCTGTAAGAATTACAATTTTAGGATCCAGATCATGGAAGAATAAAAACCGAATCCGAGGATCCAAGTCCAATTAGAAAAGTGCCCATTGAAACGCATGGAAAATAAATTGAAATATGAAATCAAGAAACTAAAATTAAAAATTAGTCATTGTGCTCCAAATCGACCCAAAAGGTCGACCTTGTGTGACTTAAAATTTTTTTTACCATGACTTCTGATTTATGTAAAATCGGATTCTGACTCCCAAAACCATTAGAGAGGTCACGGAAAAGGAATTTTTTAAGTCACACAAGGTCGACCTTTTGGGTCGATTTGGAGCACAGTGACTAATGAGTTCTATAAACGCCTAACACAATTTCAAAACTATGACCGGCGATTTCCAGGAAGGAACTTGCGGATTTTTAAAGAAAATGCGATGAAGGTAATGGCCCAGATTAGTCACATTCAATATGTGTTAAATGCTGTCTATCTAAGATAATGATTTAAGAAAATATGAACCTGTAATCTTTGTGTAGAAGTTTTGTTTCTTGAGGGTTGATTTAATAGTTTCTGCATCCTTCCCTGAACAGGTTGGGACGGAGCAAGAAATGAACTATCGTTTAAATCACTGAACGGAGAATCTAAAATCTAAACACAGAAAAGATACAAACATCCTTTTAAGGGACAGTAGATATAGTTTTAAGTGAGCTCAAATTTTCATGTCCAATTCCCAACTTTACATTTTGAACCTTAATCGAAGAAACAATGAGGGAGATATAGCGTTTAAAGGGACAGACCGGCTATGTAAGGTAGTTAAACTGAGTATGCAGTGTTGTAGACAAATTATTTGGAATTCAATTAAGACATATACAACGTTTCCACGATGTATAGCTACTGAGTTTTAGCGCAAAGTCGACATTCAAAATCATGAATTTGGGTGGGTACGTTTTCAGAATCGGTTTTTTTTTTAATTATTAAATAACGACGACGAAAAATAAGGTAAAAATTATACAGTAAACTAATTAGATGTTTAGGAACATATTTCTCTAAAGAAATTTTCCAATAATCGGATTAATTATTTCCTTTGTCATTATTACATTGAATTTCTTATTTTCTATGAATTTGTTCGCAGATTTCTTCAAATTCTTCAAATGTCGTCTTTTTAATAAAAATTCCAGAAAATCTGCAGAAAATCTTTGTGATTAAAGAGAGATTATAGAAACTAATAATTGAATAAGATTACTTATTTTGGATGATAAGAGTAAATTTTCATTTTCTCAACTTGTTTATTAACAACTAATTAGTTTACTGTAGAATTTTGTTTACATTTTTTCTCGTCGTTATTTAATAATTTTTTTAAAAATTCTGAAAACGCATCCATCTAAAAGTACGATTTTGAACGTCGATTTTGCGCTCAAACTCAGGATTTAGAGATCTTTAAAAAGTCTCAAATGAATCCTAAAGAATTTGTCCACAACACTGCATACTCAGTTTCACTACCTTCTCCTGATTTCAATTTCATTTTTGCAAAAACCCACATGTCTCTTTTAGGAGAAACCATAATTGAAAATATTAACAATTTGAGAGAAAAACTAGGATGTTTTAGAAGTACATTTAATTCTTCTGGATATAAATACATAATGATTAACAAGAAGAGGAAACGAGAGGAAGATGAGTAGGTCTTCCCTGATTCCAGAATCCAACGCTACAGGTTTGCGGATTTTTTTTAATAATCCTCTTTCGGGGATTTCATCCTCTACAGTGTTAATTATTAAAGGTTCAAATTGTATCGTTGTACATTGGACACAAAACTTATTGAATGGAGGTTAACTTGAAATAACGTCTACATTCTAAAATCGTATCTTACAGCACAATTTTAATCAACTTATATATTATTTGTCATTTTTAGCAATTTTTGCTACCTTAGGATTTGCTGGCTTCAGGGCAGAGGGTAAGGGAGAGCTCTGAGACTCAGGAATAAAACTAAAATCGTCGAAACTTCTTCCTTTAAACTAAAAAAATAAATTAAGAACCTGATGATTGCCAAAAATAAAGACACTTTTAATGGAAGGAACTATTTTTAATTGGTTGGTTTTACAACATACGAAAACCCTCCTGGCTGATCAAGAACAAATTTAAAGCTAAAATTAACTTCCAACTAATTGCGCGAAACGTCCTAAAAGCCTGGTAAAGTAAAACTGCTTACCTTAGACTGTGCTGGAGTATCTGGGACGAAGTTTGGAGGAAGGTTTTCTTGATTATCCGTTTTCTTATCTCCATTCTCTTCTCCGGGATCTGGGGCTTCTAAATAAAGATTATCTATATCTGTTGGTTCTTGATTATCCGTATTTAGATCTTTACTCTCTTCTCCAGGATCTGGGGCTTCTAAATAAAGATTATATTCATCTGTTGGTTCTTATTATCTGTCTTTAGATCTTTACCCTCTTCTCTAGGATCAGGAGCTTCTAAATAAAGATTATATTCATCTGTTGGTTCTTATTATCCGTCTTTAGATCTTAATTCTCTTCTCCAGGATCTGAGGCTTCTTAATAAAGACTATCTACGTCTGTTGGTTCTTATTATCTTTCTTTAGATCTTTACCCTCTTCTCTAGGATCAGGAGCTTCTAAATAAAGAGTATCTACATCTGTTGGTCCTTGATTATCAGCATTTAGATCTTTATCCTCTTTTCTAGGATCATGAGCTTCTAAGGAAAGAAGTTGAAACCGAACGGGTCCTATTATTTTAGTAGTAACTCAATTGACCACACGAAAGTTTTTATTGTATTTAAAATCAGAATGACAGTCCCCAGAGGTAAATGTGTAATAATCTGAATGAAACTTATTTGTAAATTTGTTGCCAAATTTCATAAATAAAAGAATTGCCTACTAAATATTTTATAGTTCTGAAGAATCCGCTGCATTTATATTATTTTTTTTACACGGTATATTTTAATCTTCCTGGAGATCTAGAAGAGAAACTGAACCTTGATCTTTACCTTGTATATTTTTATCTTCCTGGAGATCTATAAGAGAAACTGAACCTTGATCTTTACCTTGTATATTTTGATCTTCCTGGAGATCTAGAAGAGAAACTGAACCTTGATCTTTACCTTATATATTTGGATCTTCCTGGAGATCTAGAAGAGAACCTAAACATTGATCTTTACCTTGTATATTTTGATCTTCCTGGAGATCTAGAAGAGAAACTGAACCTTGACTACCCACAGAACCAGTTTCATCAACCTAGAGATAGAGCCATGAACAAGGACAATGACACCCTTGAATCTTTGTCTGAGGCGAAAGGATAGATAACTTGTTATTTTTTACCAAAAATTGATATTTCTCTTAATCGAATTTATGTCTTAAATCAAAGAAAACTTAAAGAACAGGAAAATAAAATGGAGAACCACTTTTAGAGATAAATTTTTGTGAAGAGTAAACCTACTTGAAATGTTTGATCTTGACTATATATTCTCCAAACTGATGAAACATCTCCGAACATTATCTCTTCTGCATCACATAGATTATACCTGAACAAAATTATCCCGAAATAAATGTTATCTTATTCAAATCTGAATTTGATAGTTACATATAAATACCCTCCCCCCCCCCCATTTACAATTAATGGGTCTAGAGTCTACTTACATGTTACTTACTTGTCAGGGCTGAGCCTCCGTCAAAAATAATCGTAACTAAAGTCAAGTTGAACAGAGCTGGAAACCTTAGAATGGATAACCTTTAATCCCAACTACTTAATCCAAATATCCACTGTTGAAACTTTTAATTTTAGCTTAATCCACTCTTTTTCTCTCTTGATATCCTTACATTATTTTCTCCAATGAGAGTGCAGGAATATAGTTCGTAAATTATATTGACCAATGACAGCCTTGTAAATAAATTCTATCCCATGAGAGAAATCCGCAATTTCTAACAAATCAAGAATTTGTTGTCGGCCATTTTGTAAATTAATCGGTGAAGAAAAATATTTAATAATACGTTTGAGATTCTTTTGTAACCAATTTTAACTAATGTATTAATGCATAAATGGGTGAGAAATTAAGTGAGGGCCCTTTCAGTCAAGAAAACCAACAAATCTGGCGTTCTTAGAATCCAATTTGTTGATCTGAATATTTAACCTCAAGAATAACATAATCTCGAGATTAGCAAAAACAGAGGATTAAGCATTCTAAAGTTTCCAGCTCAGATGAGACAATAAATGGTTTACCTAACATTTCTCTTGAGTTTTATATTCCCTTTTTTCGTTCCGTTGCTAGAACCAACATCATGGATAGTAGATCCATCCACATCTCCCTTCATAATTCATAATTCATCATTTAAAGTATTTTTCCATTTGTGAAATTGTAATAATACTGTCAATTTCATTTAAGCGTAATTTCAAGTGACCCTCCATGGGATAATGGAATTACCCGATTTACATTTAATCATGTTGAAACCAGTGCTTAGGATCCGGATCCGAATCCGCAAAAATATGCGGATCCACGGATCCGAATCCAAGGGGTAAAATATCAACCAAAAACTGCAAAAAAAGCTTTTTTACTCCTAAAACCCAAATCTGAACTTTTGAAAATGAGAGATTATAAAAATGTCCTCATTTTATGAATGGCTTATCAAGTTTTAGAATAAAAATATGCGAAAAAAATTTTCAATTTTTTTGTTAAAAAAAATCAGTAAATCTTAAAGAAATGACCTGGATCCGGATCCAGATCCATTTTTTTCCAGTGCGGATCAAGGATCCGGATCCGCATCAAAATTAAATAGATCCAAAGCACTGGTTGAAACCTTGATCAGATCAATAATTAGGAGTATATTGTAGTTTTGCTTGGTTTAAAGTTTTTATTCAAATTCTGATAGTTTCTATATTTTTTCCTGAATTAAAAAAGCTCCAGTCAGTTTTGTAGAGGAATTGAAAAGAGGGATCAGTCTTCAAAATAATATATCTTAAAATGCTAAATCAGACAAAGCCTGGGAGACATTGTGAATAAGGCATGGTCATCTTCGCATGGAGGCTCATTTAAAGGATAACTTTCAACCCTTTGTCTCGGCAACAATGGCACTATTTTCCAATATTTCTGTCTGAAAACTAATATTTTGGTAAAATTTGTAAATTTCGAAAAATTGTGATTTCTCTGCGGATCAAAGCGGCAGACAGAAGGAATGGAATTGATAGAATTCAACACGCTATCAGACGGGGATAAACGACCATGTCCCCCACATTATTACTCAGGTAAAGGTGTAAATGATAAAATTGGGAATCGGGCTTCCGAATCTTTACTAAAAAGTCACTTGGATTTACGTCACATTTAAGTGAAAAAAAAGTTTCTATATGCTGAGCTGAAAACTTTAGAATGGTGAATATCAAGATTAATGCTTAAACTCCTGTTTTTACTAAACCCAAGATTATTTTACAAAGCATTCGATATCAAAGAAAGAAGTTAAAAATTTAACCAATCAGCATGTCATGTTAAAATGTACTCTTTAACTTTTGAAAAACCGGTTTTCATTTCTGGTGTTGATGGTGTCATTTCAATTGAACTAAACATCGATTGAACGAACGTAAGTTTTGGATTAATGTTTCTTAATGTTTTTTATAATTTCATATTAACATGATGATATTTATATTTGTTTAAATGCTCTAAAAGCCGGCTTGTGAACAGCTGACTTTAATGCAATCGGATATTAGTCCAATCGATATAGCATTTGTATCTGTAATTGTTATTAAACGTAACTTTTATACAGTAGAAATATCCAAAAAGAGGATTATAAGAAGAAAATCATAAGTGTGTACATTGAATAATCAGATTAATCGATCGTAATTAAAGATATCTCATTCTAAAGTTTTCAGCTCTGAGCGCATTAAGAAATATTGTACATTTTTATATGAAATATTCACTTCTCTTAAAACCTGGAACTGATCAAATAAAAATCTATCATTCAATTATAGAGGCGTAGCAAAAAATTACAAATTACAGTTTTTAACAAAATGTACTTCAACCGTAGTTCTGACCAATTCACTGATAATTGCTCACAATCGAATGAATAACTAAAACATCAAAAAAATCAAATGACAACATCTCTTGGAGAACCCCAACCTTTAAATAAAAATCTCGAATAATCCCTCCGTCCCATACCTCAATAATTGCATGTGTCCGACTGAGTGAAGATTTCTGTAGAACTATACTGCACGATGGATCCCGTCCGATTTTATTTTCCCCCTGGTTAATTCTATATTTGATCCCCTCCACCTCTAACCACCCGATCTGCCTCTCCTCCACCTCCTCCTCCCCCTCAGGGTCGCTCTCCACCAACATCTGGGTGCACAGCATCTGTGTTTCTTCCATTTTTTATCTGGAACATTTATCTTTTATCACCTGAACCTGGTCGGTTTACAAAAATACAACAATCGGTATTTTAAACAAATCAGAGACAGTTTACATTTTATATTAACCATCGCATCTTGAAATGTAAACAAAAATACAAAATAGTTTTTAAAAATAAATAGGTGACATAAGGTTTTAGTAACTTTGTTTACTATTGCCGCCAAATATTTCTCATGGATTATGGCGGGAAATTACAAAAAATGCTCGAGATACAAAATGGCGGATTTACGTGTGCATGAGCACAAGCCTCTTGGTTCTTCTAATGATCGCCTGAAGGAATCCTGCTGAAGAGGTTCCGCCGCTTGTTCTTGTTTCAACAATATCAACGATTTCACACAACTTATCAAAGAATGTATCATTTATAATGACTTTAACATCTCCTTTCAGCTTCTCAAGATCAACCTAGAAAAATATTTTTAACAAACCACTTTTTAAATCAGACCGTAGGCCATTTTGAATTTTATACCTGAGGGAAGTTAGATCTAGGCGAAGAAACAACACCTCCTAGCTGCTCCTTTGTCTCATTCAGCCGTCTGACAGTTGCCTTAAAATATTTATTTTTTTATATTTTATTGAAATAAACACGTTAAAATGAAGTAATATTTTGGAGTGAAACAATCAAAAGTGAAAGTAAAAATTGTAAGAAAAGCATAATGATATAAGAAGCAAATAAAAGCGATTAACATATTTAAAAGTTTTAGAATTCCCCGAGTCAACACTGTAAAAATAATAAACCCCATGTTAAGGTGAAGTGAACAGAAACATGTGATAGAACAACCAGACACTTATGAGCTCTTGGAACTTTGAAGTACCTTTTGTGATTCACCAATCAAAATTTTCAAACTGAAAGTAAAGACTTATTTTATTCTTAAATATTTGAAATATTAATGTTTCAGAGTGATTATGCAAGGATAATCGGCATAAGTTTTGGACATTCTTCTAACCTTAAAGGTCAAAAATATCTTTTATAAACATTGATAAAATAGAGTAAATTTGAGCATTAAAACTTGAGCATAGTCCGAAAAAGGCAAAAATTAAACATTTTAAAAAACTGTGCAGGTTTGATAATGAGGACTGATCGGTATTTAAACAAGAAGGATCAAGGACTCAACTGATCAAGGATTCGGGATCCACCTCTAAACGAATCAAGGATTCATCTAATCAAGGATCAAGGACTCAACTAATCAAGGATCAAGGACTCAACTAATCAAGGATCAAGGACTCAACTAATCAAGGATCAAGGACTCAAACTAAACAAGGATCAAGGACTCAACTAAACAAGAAAAGCATAATTTCACAGGAGAAGTCTAGCCTGGATGTTCCCAACGTAAGTCCTTGTGCGATTATGTACTATTATTCTAAAAAGTTAAAGATCCCCTGCATTTTAATACTGTTCAAACAAACTAAAGATTCCATTATTATGCACTAATTTTAAACTGATAAAAAACTTAACAAAAGAAAAATATAAGTATTTTAAACTCTAACCTTTTTCCAGATTGGCAAATTCTAGGAAGGATGTATTTTAAACACAAGTATGTAGATCATTATTGTATAAAGATTTAAATATTATATTATTTAGGTTTTTTGATCGCTCAAAACTTATAATTCCAGATGAGCGCATATGAAAAATTGGCTTTAAAAATGGCAGGCTGGTCATTCTGCAGATAAAATATCAAGAAAAGGTGGGATATTTTCACAAACACAAAATAACCATTTCTTAATGTTCATTAGAAAAATAATTTTCCCATTAACTTTTACTTTTATTACATTTTTTCAATTTAATAAAAAATTCAATTTTTGTACAATTTTTTACTTTGATTTAAGTCCTGGTTTTCACGTTTATTTTAATCCTTAATCTCACTCTACCTCATATGGAGTAGCTGGGCTAGAAGATATCTACCTGATATGGAGTAGCTGGGCTAGAAGATATCTACCTGATATGGAGTAGCTGGGCTAGAAGATATCTACCTGATATGGAGTAGCTGGGCTAGAAGCTATCTACCTGATATGGAGTAGCTGGGCTAGAAGATAGCGCGGCATTACTGAACAGAAGATAGTGTTCAAGATGTCTCCAGAGCAGAAATCCCAGAGATTCAACCGTCTCAGCGGACAGCTGGACTTCAAGCTGTTTATCCGAGATAGAAGCTTCCAGCTTAGCGGCAGCTAGTCGCCGGATAGTCAGTCCTATCAGTGTATCAGTCATTATCATTATCATATTAATTCTCAGTCTCATTATCATATCAATTTTCAGTTTCATTATCATATTAATTCTCAGTCTCATTTTCATATTAATTCTCAGTATCATTATCATATTAATTCTCATTCTCATTATCATATCAATTCTCAGTCTCATTATCATATTAATTCTCAGTCTCATTATCATATTAATTCTCAGTCTCATTGTATAAGATCTACGGATCTTTTCTTAAATCTTGATGTTCAAGTTAATCCAGAAATTGTGATCTGAAGAAGCACATGAAGACCTACTAATCTATTCTAACTTGTTCATCCTTTATAAATAATTACTCGAGCTTATACCTGAGATTTTATCTGAGTCTAACTAAAGTTTTATTTTAAATGTATCATTCTGGCCTAAAAGTTTTATATTCTCAAGCCTAAAAAGCTTTTTTATAATGTCTAGATTTATACTTAAAAAGAGCCTATAACAAAAAATTATATTTAATGGTCTATGTATTTCAGACCACAATGGGCTAGGTTAGCTGCCCTTATATCCTGTTTAGTACTCCAGGTTGTGCATTACTGGGTTTATAAAACATCTTATTTAAATGTGAATGTAAACGCTGCCTAAAACTTTTGAATTTAAGCTCTTTAAAACTTATGGATGTTATATAAAGTGAATCCAGATCGTTCTTGTATTCCATCACCTGTCCTGAACTATGAACTAATGAATTCACAGGTGAAAATACATTTCTAGATAATTCAGAACTTTTGAAGCTTATCCGAAACTAATTACTCCCTTATCTCGTAGACCAAGTCTTCCTCTGATCTACCCACGCCGTACTCCTGGACGAGGATGATCTCTTCAATCTAAAGAAAGTCTGATAGAGCAGATTCATCTATACAAGCTGCAGACTGTCTGTTTGCAGCTGGAAGCACGATGAACCTGTCGAGCTGAGCCAAACCGCCTGTAGAGTGTCTCCCTGCTGGGCAACATCGTCTTCACCTCCTACATGGAGAAGTCCTGTCGGAAGCGTCTTCCTTGCTTCTCTAAACCGGGACTGCTGCTATTAAGCAGATAAAGGTGAAGATAAATATGAAGCTGCCCTCAAGATGAGATCTAATGTCTAACTTAATCTTATTTAGATCTCATCATTGTCCTCGACATTGAGATCTGATGTTTAACTCAACCTTATTCGGATCCAATCATCATCTTCACTACCTCCCTATTGGAGAAGTCCCGTCGAAAGCATCTCCTCTGCTTCTCTAAACCGGGACTGCTGCTATTAAGCAGATAAAGGTATATAATCAAGTTTTGTGTGATCTTTGTGAATAATTAACGACGAAAATGTGACTATCTCCTCTAACACATGATAAGCCTTCATATAAACTCATCTTATTATTTCTAGTTATGTATAAGAGACAGCTGGTAACGATCATCCAACTTTAGAGCTATTAAATTCTCCGGCCTAATCAACTTTTTAAGTGTTACCTTAATTCATATATATTTGTTGCAATTTATTTACATTTAGCACATTGTAAGTGTTATCTCAATACCTAATTGTTGTTACAACTTATTCACACTTAGCACACCTGGAGCAAATTTTAATGTAAACTTAGCTAATTTTATTCATTTAAATCATTCTAATACTAATTTAATATTTATGCAACCCGTGACTGATGTATTGTTTTTCAGTTCACGGGTCTCAGCTCTGTAACGATATACCTGAAATACAGAATATAAGAAACTCAAGTGTATTAAAGAGGTGCGCATGGAGAATTGATGTTGCCCCATCATGTTAATAGCCAAACAATACCTGTGGATCTAGGTATCGTATTTAGGGAAAATGCTAAAATTCCCGAAACGGGCACACATTGTCATATTAATTCTCAGTCTCATTATCATATTAATTCTCAGTCTTATTATCATATTAATTCTCAGTCTCATTATCATATTAATTCTCAGTCTCATTATCATATTAATTCTCATTTTCATTATTATATTAATTCTCAGTCTCATTATCATATTAATTCTCAGTCTCAATATCGGGTATTGAGTAACAATATCTTTTTCTTGATGTCAATCTTATTCTAGACTTTTAAATCTACGTTAAATGATTCCTTTAATCTCTTAATTTAGAAAACAGTGAAGATTAACTTACGATTAATAATTTGTTCCGCACTTTTCATAAGTAAAATCGGCCCAATCTCGCTCTACCTGGAAGTTTTTCCGCGGGATTTATTCCTGCGAGGATGACCAGCTCCGAGGTTGGGACGGAGTTCAGAGATTTCTCCTTTTCCTTCATCTCATTCAAGGAAACCTAGGAGAAATCATTAAAAATAGCTCCATAGTTGGACGGAGTTCAGTAACTTATCATTCAAAACGTATGTACGTATGCACGTAATACGTATGTACATATGTACATATGTACATATGTACATATGTACATATGTACATATGTACATGTACGTATGTACGTATGTACGTATGTACGTATGTACGTATGTACGTATGTACGTATGTACGTATGTACGTATGTACGTATGTACGTATGTACGTATGTATGTATGTATGTATGTAAGTATGTATGCATGTATGTATACCTGAGCTCTAGATAGATGATTAGCTAGATACTTGAGTGAAAGTACAAGTAAACCAAGGGAAGCAGGACGGCTGGATAAACTGCTGGCGGATACTCCTTCAGTAGTTTCTAGCAAACTTGAAGACAAAACTAAAAACAATTTAATTTTTAAGTCTTAACTTAACAACACAAAGATGTGTTTCATAGATATTTTATTTCTGAAAAAAAATCCTTGGTTTATACTGCAAACAAGCACGGAAAAAAAAACAAGTTTTGTTTTAATCCACATAACACCAACTTTGCAATTGAAATTGTTCATTGTTTCAGACTGATAATTATTATCATTAACCTACCAGTTATTTGTAGAATCAAACTTCAAAAAATATTGGCAAAAATAATACATTCCCTCAAAATTGCTTAATTTATATTCCAAGATTCGCCACAAAAATCAAAGCAAATCAAATAAAATAATGTGTCACCTAGACGGCAAGTTCTTGAGTTAGCTCCACTAGAAGAAACCACAGTTCTTGCGTAACTTGTCACATTGGAAACTATTTTGAGAACCAGGAGTAAGCTTTTACTCCACTCCTCTCCTAACCCTTCTAAGCTCACCAGCAGATCATCTGTCATCTGGAACTGTGACAGCAAGGCTAGCATCTGTCTCTGAACCCGAGACATAAGTCCTGTCAATTCGAACCCGGACGGGTCGTTTATCTCAGCTCTGAGATCAATTGTAGCAGCTCGGGACACGACAGCTGTGACCAGAGCTAGCTCCTGGAGCAGGGCGGAGTTTAAACTTGATCTTGCGGTGGAACCACGCAGGATCTGAGAGAATATATCATCGTGTCCTGCAATAAAACGGACAGTAGATTCCGCCGCGGATTTGTTACCTCCGCCTAGTGTGGAGAGAATGGACTGAATTAGGCGGAGGATTGGGAACAGGATACTGTGATATCTTGCTAGTATCCCATTGATCATATCCTCCTCATTCCGGAGCAGGATTGCATCCGGATCAGGACGAAGATCTAGGACGGAAAACTCCGCCAGCCTGTTCAACACACCAGCTTGGAGCAAAAGCTCAGCTCCAAGATGACTTGTAGCAATTCTTGACAGCAATCCGACCTTGGATTCATACACGTACAAATCCCTGATATTCCCAGTAGGTTGAGTAAGTAAATTTATCAAACCAGCTTCATCTTTAATCAGAGACTCCGCGATATGTTTGATGAATCCATGTTCTGAGAGGAACCTCGTACAATATCCCTTCCTATCCATGAAGATGAGCTCATCAAGTACTGCAAATGCCAGCATTCGCCTGACCTCGTGGCCAGAGACTGCATCACGTGATACGATCTCCAAGAACCCAGTCCCAAAACTTTGAATTACTTCCATGTTAACTCGGAGCAGTTTTCCTCTCTCTGATATCTCAAGAGATCTGACGCTTTCAGTTTTGGAAGATTTTCCGATTCTAAGAAAGGCGACAAGAGCCGCGTACAGATTTGTCCTTATCATCTGACTTCCACTTCCTGCCGTTGTTATCCAGGATACCAGTCCTTTCAAGATAACCTGGAGGGATGCAGAGAATACCTCACTAGAACTGTTCTCAATGATACTTGTGTCAAGGATTCCTACGAAGGTTTCTCCGAGAACTGTTTTCTTGTCCGGAGAAGCATCATAGGTCTCCCGGAGAGAGGTGAGAAGAAGAAGAACAGCGCTTGAAACCAGGACGGCTAATCCAGGAACAGCTTCGTCAACGGAAACCTTGTTCAACAGGGTTTGGAGGAGTTGGAGAAGGATTTGCTGTTTGCTGACAGGGGGCAGGTGTTCAGTAGGAGCTGCCAACAGGAGAACTTCAGTCACCTGTCTCCAGGAGTCAAGGAGTTCTCTCCTAGCAGCAGCCCCTTCCTGAACAGAGTTCCATCTCACAGCATAAACTAGGATAGATTGGATCTCGGATTGGATCATTGCTCTCTGATTCATAGCTGTAGATCCCTGAAGATGAACCAGCTCCTGAGCCAGGAACTTGTGAAGTTTTGGAACCAGGACGAGTTTCTCATGAACAGAACTCTCCGGGTTCTGAACCTGGCACTGCTCCAACAGGGCTGAAACCTGTCCGTCATCAAACAGTTCCCAGTTCGGAGCAGAGGTTCGCTCCACCTCAAAGTTGATGAAATGTAGGATGGTTGCCAGTCTGTGGTTGGAGAGAGGAGAATTCATCTGCTTGGACTGGGACTGAACCATGGTTCTCGACAATTGAGTAAATGTTGCATCATTGTACAACCTTGACGCATCCGTCCCAACATTATCCTCATAATTATCATTCGCGTCGAGCAACAAACTCAGGATCTTACTGAGCTGACCACTCTGCCGTGTTTTCATTAGTACCCGGAGCTCAACCGCTGTAGATCTAAGAAGCCAGGCTACACTTCTCAAACTTTGAATCCCTTCCTTCTCCAGGATGTTTGTAACACAGGCCAGCTGGCTGGGTAGAAAGTCACAGGATGACCTGAGAAATCTAAGGGTAGGATCCGATGTTTCCGGGTTAGAGACGAGAGTATAGGTAAGTTTGTAGAGGGATGTTGCAAGTACTGGTGAGGATGATACAACAGCAGCAGGAACTCCAGGATCCTCCGGAGTAAGCAGTCCTAACACAGCATGCAGAGGAGTTCTAATCCCAGCAACACTGGGACTTTGGAGTTGAGTTTTAGCCACTCCTCTCCTCACATCAAATCCTAGCAGGAAATGGGCTAGAGTTGGTGCACCCATGTGTAATCCTTTCTGTAGAAGCTCCACGATGGCTAGTCTACATGAAGAGTTTTCCCTGCTTGATGTTCCAGGAGGGGAACTATTCTCATCTTCATCGTCAGAGTCAAGAGCCTCGGTGAAAGCCTTGAGGACAGAGTTGGCTATCTCCGGGGTGGCGGTAAAGGTGGCAAGAAGATCAAGTTGGTTTGAGGGTGAGCTGGCAACGTAGCTCAGGATTCTAATAGCATCAATCCTAGCTGCCGGCATCCAGTATCCATAGAGAACATACCTGGATACATTCAGCATATGATCCGCTCTCCCGGAGCGTGGATTAATCCCGAGCATCAGCTTAGACAAAGATGTCATGACAACCGAAGCTCCGGCATTCCGTCCGGCCGTGATAAAATCCTCGCTCAGTTTAAGCGCGCTGTTCAGAAGTTTGAGCGCGGAGTTTGCTGCAGATTCAACATTCTTTTTTCCTTGGAACGGAGAAAATGAATCCAGTAAGGATTTACACTCGTCCAGGACGAACAGAACTGTTCTTAGCAATAGGGTCGATTGGTGGAGATATACAAGGATGTAAAAGCCTGGATGCAGACCTACTGTAGAATTTGGTCCCTGGAAATCCGTCTGGTTGGGTTCGTACTCCTCCAGCAATTTATTCAGCAGGGTGAGACACAAGGATGCAACTTCCCACTTTTCCGCAGGATCCTTGTACGTTCTTGTACTAAACTTCAACAGTACAGACTCCTGTACAAAGTTCATGTACGGTATTAGACCAGGCTGTCGTGTACCTGCTCCTAAGTTTCCGGGGATTTCAACGTCAGTCAGTCGATCTAGCAGCTCAATAAACGCCCTTGTCAGCGGAAACTCTTCAAACCTAGTTTCTATTTCCTCCAGTTCCTCCGTGAGTCCAGGCTTCCCTCCTTGTCCTCCTATCAACTGCTGTGTCTCAATATGCTGCCAGATAGTGTGAACATTATCAGCAGATTTTGCCAGTGCCGCCAGCAATAGAACCAATCTAGAAACAGACAAATTTTAACCATTAGGACAATTCAGGTCGTTGTTACATCTACTCTGCTCATACACTAAAGAGGGGGGGGGGGGATTTCACAAAACGTAGTACTCTCCTGAAAATTTAACAGTGTTTTAGCATAACTTAGTATTGTCGAAGAACGCTGATTTTTTATTTTTTGCATGTGAACTCAAAATTGTGTATGGTTACTGCAAAAGCGCGCCGGCCAGAATGTCCGAAAATTCATATTTACCATTGAAATGATATCTGGTGCCCAATTACCTATAAATTAACATACAACATGCAAATCTGTGCTAAGTTGACCCATACGATAATAGCTGGCTACTAGGGCACCGGTCAGAATACTACAATATTTAATTTTAACTTGGAAATATATTTCTCGTGCCCAATTACCTGGAAATTGACATACAACTCGAAAATATGTGGTTAGATGACCCAAAACGTAATCGCTGGCTGCTAGCGTGTCAATCAGAGTACTCAAACTACATTTATGACCCAAGAAATAGAATGCCGGTGCCTAATTACTTAATTGTCGACATACGACATGTAAAATTGGTGGCAAAATCACTCATAATGCAACATCTGGCTTCTAGTGGGCCGATCAGAACGCTCCAATGTCTGTTTTGCCCACAGAAATAAATTCCTTGTCTCAATTTACCAGTAGTTTGATGTATCGCATGCTATTTTTGTTTTAAATAATGGTAAAATTGAAACAATTAAGAATCTCAAATATTTTCTGAAATGCACACGCGCGGGGATTTGAGTTATTTTGTGTGCAAAAACTGGTCATGCATTACAAGTCTGAAAGCACCTTGAAGCAAATACAAATTCTTTTCATGGTGTCAAGATTTCAAAAATGCGAGAAAAAAAGTAACATTTTTCACCAAAAAGCATGTGCGAGCGCACTTTTTCTAGGATTTTTTAAAAACTGAATTTTGCAGTTACAATACATAATTTTGATTTCACATGCCATGAATTCGACAATTCTATGTTATGCCTAAACACTGTTTAAATTTTCCGGAGAGTATTACGTTTTGTTTTCTAATCACTGTCGTTAAAATGTTGCGCCATAAAAACAAGAACAATGAAAAAAATTATAGTTTTTACACAGTGAAAACAGAAAAAAAACGTTATTTATGTTTGTGTATGTTAAACTCTCCAAGGATAAAAGAAAATAAATTCTCATGAAATAACTTAAAACAACAATTTTTGTAACGATTTTACGGCTATTTTTATGAATCGTAGTATTAATTTTAACGTCTTTTTTGCTTCTTAAAATTTAAAATTTTTAAGTTAAAAAAATTTAAAAGTAGTAGTGGGAACTAATAATCCTACTTTGCTTTGATATGAGTAGGAACAGAGCAAGATAATAAACCAATAAGAGTAGAGAGAACTAATAATCCTACTTTGCTTTGATATGAGTAGGAACAGAGCAAGATAATAAACCAATAAGAGTTGAGAGAACTGCCCAGGACGGATGTTCAACCATACACAACCTAGAAATAATCTATGTGAGTAGAAGTAAGGTATGATGTGTTAGGACTAGTTTTATCATAAACAAACGGCTTTTACCTCGTTAACAGTAATTGTCAGGGCAATGTTTATTTTTGTACAAAGGTTTAAAGGGTTCCGTTGTTTATATATCTCCTACCTTGCTGCTTCACATCTCCTGGCTAGGGTTGTGAGTAGCTCCAGGACTGCGTTCAACCCTTCTATCTCCTGGGGTGAGATACCCCTCGTCATGGGTTTAGTTCTACATCGAAAAATATAATAAATACAAGCTTGGTAACCCAGCTTTGCCTGGAAACTTGAAGAAAAAACTTAGCTAAAACCATTCCCATGAAACACTGAGTTCCCCAATACAAATTTGAAGCAACTTAGTCAAGTGGTTCTTGAGTTATGATCGAATAAATTTACAATGGGCCTGTCTGGCTGCTCCTGTCTAAGATTACTTAAGTACTGCTAAACTAACCTATATATAGTATGGTCTGTTCCCATTGACTTTTCCTGTCTAAGATTACTAAAGTACTGCTTAACTAACCTATAGATAGTATGGTCTGTTCCCATTGACTTTTCCTGTCTAAGACTACTAAAGTACTACTGAACTAACCTAAAGATAGTATGGTCTGGTCCCATTGACTGTTCCTGTCTAAGACTACTAAAGTACTGCTGAACTAACCTATAGATAGTATGGTCTGGTCCCACTGACTGTTCCTGTCTAAGTTTACTATCTGTACTAACCTATAGATAGTATGGTCTGGTCCCATTGGCTGTTCCTGTCTAAGATTACTAAAGTACTGCTGAACTAACCTATAGATAGTATGGTCTGGTCCCATTGACTGTTCCTGTCTAAGTTTACTATCTGTACTAACCTATAGATAGTAAGGTCTGGTCCCATTGGCTGTTCCTGTCTAAGATTACTAGCTGAACAAACCTATAGATAGTATGGTCTGGTCCCATTGACTGTTCCTGTCTAAGACTACTAAAGTACTGCTGAACTAACCTATAGATAGTATGGTCCGGTCCCATTGGCTGTTCCTGTCTAAGATTACTAAAGTACTGCTGAAGGGAGCTGAAGAAATGATCTAATGAAATGCTGTTAGATCCGGTACAGTTCATCTTCAGTAGGTTGAAGCAGTACGGAGCTGATCCTAAATTGTAATTTTAATAAGAAACAATTCTCCAATTTAGCATAAAAATCTTTCCGAAGGGACTGTAAGCGCAATTTCAAATGATATTCCATTTAAAAAGGCATCTTTCATTCACAACGGTACCCTTTAATCCTTTAACTGATCAAGGATGACAAACACTTCTTATTTATCTACAGAAACGTTTGTAAATGTGAACCGGTGATGTCCTTTTTTATTTGAAAGGTCACTTGATAATACGCTTTCCCTTTCAGCTATTTAATACTTCTATCAAACAGAAGTTAGCAACAAGCGCTTAGCAGCTTATGAAAAAACTTGAGTAACACAAGATACAAAATGGTATAAGTGAGCTGGTAAGGTGAAATCATGGTCAAAGGCCTGGCGACACTTACATGTTAGGCTGGTCTGAAAAATTGACGCTGTCCAGTCGGTTTCCAAATCCAACTGCCATATAAAACTGGGATACCGCTGTGAATCGGGTATACCGTCACTTTATCTTATATCTTTAACTCTATTTTATCCCTTGCAAAGGAACCCGGCTTTGCAAGCAATATTTTAAAAATCTTCAAATACTCGACAGAAGACGACCTCTTGTATCCACACAACTAACCTGGTGAGTCTGCTAATCCTGCCAGCATGGTTATATAAGGAACAAATAGGCTGGGCATGAGAAGGTCTCCCGCTAGACGGACAAACTTATACAAAGCTATCTGCTTAGCAGGGCAGTGCTTAGTATCCAGGCCTCCGCCTAGAGTTAAAAAAAGCAATGAATGAATGAATGAATAAATGAATGAATGAATGAATAAATGAAAGGATGAATGAATAAATGAATTAATACCTGAGTCCGCTGCACACCAGTATGCCTCTGCTAGTCCAAGGTCTAATGAATCCCCAGCATATAGATGAGCTAGACTAAGGAGTAGTTGCTGAAAGTGTTGTCCACTCAGTGGTACAGTGTACTGTATTCCCTCCTGTACAGTGTACATACCATTAGTCATATTTTCGTGGATTTTTGTTGACAGAACGGCTGAACCGATCGGCCCTGAATTTTTTGTGGGACATTACTTGACGAAAGGAATGGGATATGACCTGTCAGGATTAAAAATTTGTGCCGGTAAATTTGTCATTTACGTAATTTAAAATTTTCCATTAAACTTACTAAATAAAATTTAAAAAATATCCTTAAAACAAGATTAAGTTATTGGAGAACGGAATCTAGAAAAACTGAAGCAGGGCCGTGGGGTGGAGTAGGGTGGGGGAAAGGTGGAGTGGGGGGAAGGTGGGGGGGATGGATAATATAATATCTACCTGTTCGTGCATCATCTTGTTTCTTGCTGAATCATCTGCTCTATTCCTCAGCTCCTGGAGTAATTATATAGTTTAGTTTGATTCATTGACTGATTTAGTTCCTGGATTAATTATCTAGTTTGGTTTCATTCATTGATTGATTCGGTTCTTGGAGTAATTATCTAGTTTAGTTTGATTCATTGATTGATTCAGTTCCTAGAGTAATTATCTAGTTTGGTTTGATTCATTGATTGATTCAGTTCCTGGATTAATTATCTTGTTTGGTTTCGTTCATTGATTGATTCAGATCCTAGAGTAATAATCTAGTTTAGTTTGATTCATTGATTGCTTCAGTTCCTGGAGTAATTATCTAGTTTGGTTTCATTCATTCATTGATTCAGATCCTAGAGTAATAATCTAGTTTAGTTTGATTCATTGATTGATTCAGTTCCTAGAGTAATTATCTAGTACAGTTTCATTGATTGATTGATTCAGTTCCTGGATTAATTATCTAGTTTGGTTTCATTCATTCATTGATTCAGATCCAAGAGTAATAATCTAGTTTAGTTTGATTCATTGATTGATTCAGTTCCTAGAGTAATTATCTAGTTTAGTTTCATTCATAGATTGATTCAGATTCTGGAGTAATTATCTAGTTTAGTTTGATTCATTGATTGATTCAGTTCCTAGAGTAATTATCTAGTTTAGTTTCATTCATAGATTGATTGATTCAGTTCCTGGATTAATTATCTAGCTTGGTTTCATTCATTGATTGATTCAGATCCTAGAGAAATAATCTAGTTTAGTTTGATTCATTGATTGATTCAGTTCCTAGAGTAATAATCTAGTTTACTTTGATTCATTGATTGATTCAGTTCCTAGAGTAATTATCTAGTTTGGTTTGATTCATTGATTGATTCTGTTCCTGGAGTAATTATCTAGATTAGTTTCTTTCTTTGATTGATTCAGTTCCTGGAGTAATTATCTAGTTTAGTTTAATTCATTGATTGATTCAGATACTGGAGTAATTATCTAGTTTAGTTTGATTCATTGATTGATTCATTTCCTGGAGTAATTATCTAGTTTAGTTTCATTCATTGATTGATTCAGTTCCTGGGGTAATTATCTAGTTTAGCTTCATTCATTGATTGATTCAGTTCCTGGAGTAATTATCTAGTTTAGTTTCATTCATTGATTGATTCAGTTCCTGGAGTAATTATCTATTTTGGTTTGATTCATTCCTTGAATCAGAGAATAGAAGTCTAAAGAGCTTAGGATGTATGCAGCTTTATCTTGGAGTAGCACAAGAGTATCTTGAGTGGTAGAAGACTTAAGAGTCTGTTAGGAGAGTGTTAGGACGTAAATGCTTTAATTTTGTGTGGCATGAGAATTAGGAAGTCTGTTAGGAGAGTGATAGGACGTAAATACCTTAATTTTGTGTGGCATGCGAGTTAGGAAGTATGTTAGAAAAGTTAGGACGTATGTACTTTTAGCTTTAGTGGCGTAAGAGTTAGGAAGTCTGTTAGGAGAGTGTTAGGACGTAAATACCTTAATTTTGTGTGGCATGAGAGTTAGGAAATCTCTTAGGAGCATGATAGGACGTATATACCTTTATCTTGAGTGGCATGAGAGTTAGAAAGTCTGTTAGGAGAGCATGAAGACGTCTCTGGTAGAACTCTTCTTTCCCGAACCCCGGAGAACTGAACAATAGCTCCGGAAGGAAATGAAAAACCTTCCCATCTAAAACAAAACATGTCCTTTTTCTTTATCTTTTCTATCTTAATAATTTCAAACTAAAATGCTTATAAACTTAAAAATATATTTAAAATGGACCCCCCCCCCCTTATCCCTGGAATGATTTCTGAAGATTAGGGGGCAACTACAAGTGTACTGTCTACGGTTTTCCTTTATTTTCGAAACTTTTGTGTCAAAAAAAAATCGTTTCTCGCAATAACAAAAAAATTAAGGGATAGTTTTTGAAGATTTTGAAGAAAAAATAAAAAAAATCGAATTTGATTGAAAATGTTTTTAAAATACTTTTTGACATTTTTAAAGAAAATGTATTTTCAACTCGGAGAGCTTTGCAAAACAAAGATTTAAGGGTCTCCTGGACTGTATTTAGTACCTAGAGCTAGGTCCATAAAGGTTTCATCCTCCTCCAGGGTTGAGCAGGTATCCGGAGTAAGTACTCCTCCAACCCTCAACCCTGATAATGTCATTGCCCAGCAGAACTGCAGCAGAGCTTGCAACCCCTGAACATAAGAAAACTTCATATCAAATAAAAATTTAAATATTTTAATCGAGTTAAAAAAAATAATAGAAACTATGTATATACAAACACAGTGAGACCCATAAAACTGTGGAACATCGGAAAAATTCATTTTAAATAAAATCCAAGGGTTTGGAAAGAAGAGTTGGGCATACTTTTTTGTTTAAAAAAAAAATAGGGTCTTTAACTTTTAGTGACTCCACAAGTGAAATCTGACAAATTTTACATAATTAAAAATGTTGTGCTTTTAAAGTTTTGCTTTTATTTTACAACGCAAAATAACGACTCAAACAGCAGATAGAAGTCAGAGTCCCAATGTAATGAATTTGAGCCGCGTCTCCAATCCGCCAAAAACCAGTTTCAATTAAGCGCCGGCTTAAATCTTGAAACATTGAATACAATTTTAAGTGGCACCAACCATTTTTGAGGCGGGTCTCAAATTTGAGCCGCGGCTCAAATTCTTTAAATTCGGCCTCTGCTGTCAAAATTTTGCACAATTTCATAAACGCAAACTTTAATAAATTTTTTTTGAATCACGTTTGACTTTGCACTGCAGATATCCTGCAAGGAATCCTAAATGTCGAAAAAACATGCCCAACTCTTTCTGAAACAATTAAAAAATAATAGAAGGGTGCGGGGCGGGTTTGAAATTTCCAAACCCGCCCCCCCCTTTTCCCAAGTGCATGGCCAGTGCAGGCTGTTACTGGGGAAAAACGCACAACACATTTTTAAGAAAGGTTAGGGTGAGGCTTAACTAATTCTTTAAAAAACCTGTCAACACATTTTTTTGAAAGGTTAGGCTGAGACTAAACTAATTCTCTAAAATTATTGTAATTTTTTGGCAAATTATTTTTGAGCAACCTGTGTGGAAATTATTATATAATACAAACGATATTTTGAAATCCTTCATCCTCAGCCGGGTTACTGCAATACATATACATCCCAGTTCTATATTCAATTAAGAATCTGGTAAATTATGCCATCCAATGCACCAGGCAAGAAAAATACTCCCCAAAAAACCTTCTTTGAACTATCGGATAAAATACCTAAAATGATCATCCTAGGGTAGTGATGGTTAGTTACCAAGCTTTATAATGGGATAGGATATAAGTGAAACCTGTTTATTGACAAACATATTCAGCTTTGAATATAAAATAAAAACTTTGCAGTAAAAATAATTCATAAATATTATATAGCAGCCCAGTGGCAAGGCTGATGCACATCCAACATTTCACCTTAGTAATACAATTAAAAATATTTTCATTTCATTTGAGATATGTTGATGAAGTCTTAATTCCTACCTGGCATTCCCATTTCCTTCCCTTCCCATCTAACTGCCGGGAGATAGATGGGATAAAGTTAGAATCTGATATAATTGGTAGATCAATATCCTCCCTCCCTGCTCCACTACCATCCAGGGCCTAAATACCAGGGATATAAAGTTAGATATCAGGGATATAAAGTTAGATATCAGGGATATAAAGTTAGATAACAGGAGGAGTATAAAGTTAGATACCAGGATAAAATTAAGATACCAGGATAAAAGTTAGATACAAGGATAAAAGTTAGATCCGAGGGATACAAAGTTAGATACCAAGGATATAAAGTTAGATATCAGGGATATAAAGTTAGATAGCAAGGATATAAAGTTAGATAACAGGAGGAGTATAAAGTTAGATACCAGGATAAAATTAGGATATAAAGTTAGATATCAGGGATATAAAGTTAGATACCAGGGATATAAAGTTAGATAGCAAGGATATAAAGTTAGATACCAGGAATATAAAGTTAGATAGCAGGGATATAAAGTTAGATACCAAGAATAAAAAGCTAGATACCGGAATATAAAGTTAGATACCAGAGATAAAAAGTTATATACAAGGATAAAAGTTAGATCCGAGGGATACAAAGTTAGATACCAAGGATATAAAGTTAGATAACAGGAGGAGTATAAAGTTAGATACCAGGATAAAATTAAGATACCAGGATAAAAGTTAGATACAAGGATAAAAGTTAGATCCCAGGATAAAAGTTAGATACCAGGATAAAAGTTAGATACCAGAATAAAAGTTAGATACCAGAATAAAAGTTAGATACCAGGATAAAAGTTAGATGATTAGATCCCAGGATAAAAGTTAGATACTAGGATAAAAGTTAGATACCAGAATAAAAGTTAGATCCCAGGATAAAAGTTAGATACCAGGATAAAAGTGAGATACCAGGATAAAAGGTAAATCCCAGGGTTATAAAGTTGATACAAGGATAAAAGCTAGATTCCAAGGGTTATAAAGTTGATACCAGGGGGTAAAAAATGCCATCCAAAACATAAATATTATATAGCTAGCAATAAATTCTGAAGAACTGATGAAAAGGCACACCTAACTTAGTGGGAGAAAATTATTGTTAGGTGTGTGGGGAGAATAATTTTGTAACTAAATAGATCTCCTGACTTACCTGAAGTGCTGCCATAACCAGAGCAACTGAGACCTCGTCAAATCCACCGTTCCCAGCTCCAGGTCCAACCAGGGATAGATGATCAAGCAATCTAGGAATACAAGATTAACATTAACCCTGATCCAGGTCCAACCAGGGATAAATGATCAAGCAATCTAGGAATACAAGATTAACATTAACCCTGCTCCAGGTTCAACCAAGGACTGATGATAAAGTAATCTAGGAATACAAGATTATTAACATTAACCCTGCTCCAGGTCCAACCAGGGAAGGATGATCAAGTAATCTAGGAATACAAGCCTATGACTAAAGCCAATTTGAGTAAATGGAGGGAAGGAGAAAGGGGGGATTTGCATTTTTACTGGTTTACTGTAAATACACAGTATAGAATTATTAGACGTTGATTTCACAACACCGGCCTTGCCCGTCAGAGTATAATGTGTTAACACGAAAAAAAAGGAAAAACTTCTTACTTGACCGTAGCATTTGTTGGTAGTCCAGACTGTGCCGCGTAACAATATAGACAATCTGCTAGATTCTGCCGTACATCTGCATGATTTGATTGAAAATGTTTNACTGACATGCTGCACATCTCCTAACTAAACTCTACCTCAGTATACTGACATGCTGCACATCTCCTAACTAAACTCTACCTCAGTATACTGACATGCTGCGCATCTCCTAACTTAACTCTACCTCAGTATACTGACATGCTGCGCATCTCCTAACTAATCTCTACCTCAGTATACTGACATGCTGCGCATCTTCTAACTAAACTCTACCTTAGTATACTGACATGCTGCACATCTCCTAACTAAACTCTACCTGAGTGTGCTGACATGCTGCGCATCTCCTAATGCCGCGTTCTTCTGTAAATCTGCTAGCTCCTGTGTCCAGTCTAGACTATTTAACAGGGACAGGATCGTATCCGTCAATCCTAGAGATAAGGAGCATAAGGAAATGTAAATAACTTTTTTGTGACACTTTTACATTTGCAATTAACCATTAATAACCGCATACCTTGCAATTTCAAGCTATAAATCCTAATTGTTGGAAGGCTGTTCAAAACAAGAGTTGCTTAGGGATGTTTAAATCAAATGTAACTTACAGTTTATTTATGAGTCAAATAAAGTATTGCGAGGGTAAATTTTTAAATTTTTAGCATCAGAGTAAAACTCAAAGGTTAACATTTTATAAAAAGTATACGCCTTTTTTAGGATCTTCTAGCAAAGTAAACCCCCTTAAAGGGAGTCTTCACGAAAAGATATAATGGGTTGCATTTCCATTTTTTACCCGGTATTCTTTTCAGTTTTCGCGAAAATTCTCTTATAAACCTACTAATTTCTACCTGAATTAATGAGTTCTGTGGTGAAGTTGGTTAATACATCAGCTAGATCATCAGGGATATCAGTCGACCATGATAGACCAGGTCTGCTAGTCATTAAGGTTCTAGATAATAAAATAATAAATCTCCATGAAAAGCTTGAAAATGGATTCAAGATCATTAAAACTTACACTTAAAACTTAAGTACACGACCTAAAAGTATGAGATCACATAAATAAAGAAGGAAAGAATTTAGAAAATTTACTGAAAGTTCCATCTTATCTTAAAATATTGTACTAATAAAAGATAAAATTGTGTCTACTATCTTAAGATATTGTACTAATAAAAGATAAAATTGTGTCTACTACCTTAAAATATTGTTCTAATAAAAGGTAAAATTGTGTCTACTATCTTAAAATATTGTACTAATAAAAGGTAAAATTGCGTCTACTATCTTAAAATTTTGTACTAATAAAAGGTAAAATTGTGTCTACTATCTTAAAATATTGTTCTAATAAAAGGTAAAATTGTGTCTACTATCTTAAAAAGTTAAAATATTGTACTAATATAAGGTAAAATTGTGTCTACTATCTTAAAATTTTGTACTAATAAAAGGTAAAATTGTGTCTACTATCTTAAAATATTGTACTGATAAAAGGTAAAATTGTGTCTACTATCTTAAAATATTGTTCTAATAAAAGGTAAAATTGTGTCTTCTATCTTAATATATTGTACTAATATAAGGTAAAATTGTGTCAACTATCTTAAGATATTGTGCTAATAAAAGGTAAAATTGTGTCTACTATCTTAAAATATTGTATTAATAAAAGGTAAAATTATGTCTACTATCTTAAGATATTGTACTAATTGTGTAAACTATCTTAAAATATTGTACTAATATAAGGTAAAATTGTGTCTACTATCTTAAGATATTGTACTATTATAAGGTAAAATTGTGTCTACGATCTTAAGATATCATACTAATAAAAGGTAAAATTGTGTCTACTATCTTAAGATTTTGTACTAATAAAAGATAAAATTGTGTCAACGATCTTAAAATATTGTACTTAATAAAAGATAAAATTGTGTCTACTACCTTAAAATATTGTACTAATAAAAAGTAAAATTGTGTCTACTATCTTAAGATTTTGTACTAATAAAAGGTAAAATTATGTCTACTATCTTAAGATTTTGTACTAATAAAAAATAAAATTGTGTCTACTTTCTTAAAATATTGTACTAGTAAAAGGTAAAATTGTGTCTACTATCTTAAAATATTGTATTAATAAAAGGTAAAATTATGTCTACTCTCTTAAGATATTGTAACTAATATAAGGTAAAATTGTGTCAACTATCTTAAGAAATTGTACTAATAAAAGGTAAAATTGTGTCTACGATCTTAAAATATTATACTAATAAAAGGTAAAATTGTATCTACTATCTTAAAATATTGTACTTAATAAAAGGTAAAATTGAGACTACTATCATCTATTTTATTTTATAAATTCGTTAAAATTAAAATAAAAAAATAAAAGTTAAAAAAATATAAAATCAAGAAGGTATAGAACTATGGAGAGTAAGATAGGGTTTATTTACATTTTATCTGACGCAGTAGAACTGCTCTTTAACTAATTTAATTGTTATCTAGCTACACACGAATCCAAAGTTTTGTTCACTATTTTTATTATTTTTTAGGATAAAACTGAGTGATTGGAACGTCAGAGTAAAGTAACAACCCCCTAATCCTCTCTCATCTACGCTCCTATGAAATTATAACCTTAAAGCTTGAACAATGGATTTCCTGCCATCAAAGTATAGAGTCACAGCCACCAAACCACGGGTCAATCCTTTGATTAATAATAATTATAAGATCTGAAAAGGAACCCGACAAAATTATTAGGCTTTAATTATTTTGAACTTGCTGTCACAGTGGACGAGGAAAACTTACTTTTATTTCCATTAAATTTTAACAATTCCAAGTATACCTAGATTCTGGCGGAGTTGATCCTCTTCGTGTAGTAGATGATGGAGGGTGGAGACCTGGTAGTATACCTGGATACTGAGGGAGTTAATCCTCTCCACGTAGTAGAAGATGGAGGTTTTAGACCTTGTAGTATACCTGGATACTGGGGGAATTGATCCTCTCCGTTTTGTAGAAAATGGAGAGAGGAGACCTGGTTCAATAGTATACCTGGATACTGGGGGAGTTGATCCTCTCCATGTAGTAGAAGATGTAGGGAGGAGACCTGGTTTAGGTTGAACAGGTTCGTCACTATCACGGCTTCATCGGCCAATGTCTGAGAGATCACTGTAGGGGTTTCCCCGCCTGGCAGAAGGATGCCCTAAACACAAAGAAAATGAGAAACCAATTCAACATCAGGATTTTAAGGGTTAAATGGAACGTGGTTTTTTCATGGAACCCTTCAATTAAATTTGTCACGAGTTCTTTATTTAAAGAGCTACATATTAATTCACAAAGATACACTTAAAACCCTGAACAATAATGGCAGAGATATCCTTGTTTTACTATATCAAAGTTGATTTAAGTAACTTGTGGATTTAAATTTTATGCAGCACAAACAAGGAAGGACATTACCAGAATCTTAAGCTAGAAAAATTACTGTATCTTCCCTATTGTCACTCTGATTATCGTACCCTTGTGAATCGGACAACCGAGGTCGACAAACTAACCTCGGAGGTTGCTTTCTTGACGAGGTCAGCATCAAAGGAGGATGGTTGGGGATTATCCAGGAGGTTGGAGAACAAAGATTTATTTGCTTTTAACACATCTTCAAACTTCAGTCTAAATATTCATCTGAGATTAGTGATTACTGAGATATAACTGTTCTCCATATTCCATGAAGAAAATACCACAGATCATGGTGAAGAACATGTCCTAAATAATTATCAACAAGTAATTCATTAGCCGAAGGTTTAATTTATAAATATAATTTAAAGGTTTCAATCTTCAGTTCATTGGCTGGAGATTAATTTCCTTACTTAGAGGTTTAATTCATTGGTTTCAGGTTTAATTCACTGGTTGGAGGTTTGATTCATTAGTTTGAGTATGAATTCATTGGTTTGAGGTTTAATTCATTGGTTGGAGAATTAATTTATTGGTTGGAGGTTTAATTTATTGATTGGAGGTTTAATTTATGGTTTGAATTTAGATCATTGGTTTGAGGTATAATGATTTTATTTATTTATTATAGGTTAAATTCATTTCTTAGAGGTTTAATCCATTTATTTGAGGTTTAGTTCATTACTTTTAGATTTAATTTCGCTGGTTTAAGGTTAAAACCATTGGTTGGAGGTAATATTCCTAAAATGGAGGTTAATTTATTGCTTTGATGTTTAATTAATTGGTTTTTTGAGGTTTAATTCATTGGTTTGAGATTTAATTAATTAGTTTGAGCATAAATTTATTAGTTTGAGGTAAAATTCATTGGTTTGAGGTAAAATTCATTAGATGAAGGTTTAATTCATTGGCTTGGGTTTATATTATTGTTTGAGGTAAAATTCATTAGATGACGGCTTAATGCATTAGTTTCAGTTTCAATAGTTGGTTTGAGGTAAAATTCATTAGATGAAGGCTTAATTCATTGGTTTGAGTTAAAATCATTGGTTTGAGGTAAAATTCATTGGTTGGTTATAAAACTCATTTGTTGGGGGTGAAAGTCATTACTATATTTCAAATTTCATTAAATGAATAATAAACACTAAACAGAGTTGTTGATAGGAAAATGTCTAACCTCAGTCCAGGCTGTTTGCTAATTAGTGTGGCCTCTACAAGAGACAGGATCTGTTTGTAATGAGGCCAGAGGTCGAGGTTGACCGTCTCCCCGGGGAGACCGGAGGACATTTTATTCTGAAATTATTAATATATGTTAAATCTAGTGTTGCTTAAGAAGAGCATCTGTGGATTTGTCCGTATGTTTGTCTGTGAGAGTAAAGTGAGAACTGCCGTCTCTGTGCACATGAACACCTTCAAGGTTCAAATATTTATCTTTTAAGAAAAAAATAATGGAAGAAAATATGAAAAAAGATAAAAAGATAAAAATACTAAAATATGAAAACCACAATTAATTTGTCAAAAATCCAAAAAAAAAAGAGAAAATGATAAAGACGCTAAAATATAAAATCAAAATTAACATTTAAAAAATTAATCATTTTTTATTATAAAGATTATGCATTAAATATTATTAACAAAGAACATTCTTTTAAAGATTTATAATATTAACCCTTGTAACAACTACTTCACCTGTAAGGGAGCCTTCGAGAAATTAAAAAAATTTGACCAAAAAATGACAAATCAGAAAGGGGAGAAGAAAAAAAAGTATCTCATGAATATATTTTTTAAATTAAAAATAAAAGATAAATATTTTCCTAGATAAAGTTTGGATTGTTTCTCCACCGCTAGTTTCAGCTCCGCCAACTCAGTATCCGGTGAATACACAATCTTCACGCAAACCTCCACCGTATCCGCCGGAAGAGGCACCGGTATGGATTTTCGAAGTGGAATCGCCGTATCTTGGTAGACCAGGACGGATTTACCGCCGTCAAATATCGGCGATATGGCGAGAATATCTCGGGATACCGCCAACATTTTCACTGCTCCACTCAGAGTAACATCCTTCGTTATCAAGCTGGCCTGAAGAGATAAGTTAAAAGGAATGTTCACTGAGTTAGATAAGAGGTGAGAGTCAAATCAAACATGGAACCATATTTTAGATATATTAATAATATTACATTAAAATAGAAATCTGCCAAGTCTTGTTTCAGCCAAAGAGATTGTTTCAGTGTAGTGTACAGTGTACAGTGTACGGTGTACGGTGTACAATGTACGGTGAACGGTACCTGAACTGCGGCTCCAATAGCGATACATTCGTCCGGAGAAATGTTGAGACTCATCTCCGCTCCAGGGAACATACTGGCCAGCTGCTTCTGGATCTTTACAACCTTAAACCATATCAATCATCAATCATCAATCATCAATCATCAATCATCAATCAATCAATCAATCAATCAATCAATCAATCATCCATCAATCATCAATCAATCATCAATCATCAATCATCAATCATCAATCATCAATCATCAATCATCAATCATCAATCATCAATCATCAATCAATCATCAATCAATCATCCATCAATCATCAATCAATCATCAATCAATCATCAATTAATCATCAATCATCAATCAATCATCCATCAATCATCCATCAATCATCCATCAATCATCAATCAATCAATCAATCATCCATCAATCATCACTCAATCATCAATCAATCATCAATCAATCAATCAATCATCCATCAATCATCAATCAATCATCAATCAATCATCAATCAATCAATCAATCATCCATCAATCATCAATCAATCAATCAATCATCAGTCAACTAATTTTTCATTTTAATCGATTTTGCTGCCTCCCAATCAATTAATCAAACTAACTGATCATTTAATCAACCGACAGATTAATTATAATATTTAAATTTTATTCCTCAATATTTACCCGAGCTCCCTGGAATCTCAATATTTCCTACATTTTCTTCTTTTTTTCTTCAAAAATTTACATCTTTTACCTTAGTTGTCCCCCCAGCCAGGACCAGGTTGTTTATATCAGCAGTAGTAAGATTACACTTGGTCAGAAGAGCAGAGATAGGAGCTATCAACTCTACAGCAACCTACAACACATGTGTCCTCATTTTATGTACACGTCCCAAATGTGCGATTCAAATGGGCATCCCCAATGTTTAAACTCAATGTGCGTCTTTAATGGGAATCATTACTTTTTAGCAATCTCCTTAGTGCTTCCATATTAGTCTCCTTAATCTTGATTTTTGATGAACAATCTATTTAAGATTTTTTTAAATCACATTCTTAAGCGAAAACTACCACAAAAAGCAAAAATCTTGAAAATCTTTTGTAAATATAAAGATGATTTTTTTCCCACTTACCTTTGAAAGTTCGTTGTCGAACCTAGCCCTTGTAACATTAGTTGAGAAATCTAATCCATCATATAAGGATTCAACATAACAGTGAGCTGTGTCTGAATATAAGAAGTATAAGAATAAAATCTAATCGATCATACAAGGATTCAATATAACAGTGAGCTGTGTCTGAATATAAGAAGTATAAGGATAAAATCTAATCCATCATATAAGGATTCAATATAACAGTGAGCTGTGTCTGAATATAAGAAGTATAAGGATAAAATCTAATCCATCATACAAGGATTCATTATAACAGTGAGCTGTGTCTGAATATAAGAAGTATAAGGATAAAATCTAATCCATCATATAAGGATTCATTATAACAGTGTTTATGTTTTATTAACTGTTTATTTTCAATTGTGGATTCTAAGCGAAAATTACTCGCGCATTTCTTGTTTATATGAAGCAACGGAGAAACTCGCAGAAGAAACAAATTTTCAAGTGAGAAAACGACGGTTTCATTCACATTTTTGATCAGATTAAGTTTGGATAAGATGTAAATCAGGCACTGCCATCTTTGCATGGATGATCACTCGAAATTTTGTCCCTTCAAGATCAGCCCTAAAAAACAGGGGGACTACGTATCTTTATTAGTTTAATTAACATTCTAAGAGACAAGTGAAATTACTGACCTAAAGTAGAAAGAACGTGTTTACATTTCTCGGCCTCTACAGCAAGTTTGACCCGACCTCTCCTGTTGCAGAGGATGTCCTCCTAATTAATCCACCAATATTAAACTTGCCGGAAAAAAGTGTATTAAGAACGATTTATTAAATGTTTGTATTGATATGTACATTTTAACGCAGGGGGGGGGGGGGATTTTTGAAGATTTATTGGAGAAAATGAAACTTAACTTTGGACTTTAACTGGGAAATTTTGACATCTATTTGAAACTTATTAACCAAAATTTTGTTCTTTAATTTTTCCAAAGCAAGCAATAATCTCAAGAAACGTAATATTCTTATTTTGATAATTGTTAACTAAGGGGAAGATGAGGGCAGGATTTTCAAGAAATGGACACTTAATGTTCAAGTAAAGGTTTTTTGTTCTTGAAGGTGGGGGACGGGGGGGGGGTATTTTTCAAAAAATGGACCCTTTAAGTTAAGGTAAAGGTTTTATATTTGGTATTTTCCTTGTATTTATTCATGAATTCTTTTCCGAGATAACCAACCAGCACCTCAGTAACAGCAGCACCTCCAGTCCTAAACAGTGAGTGAGTGAGTGAGTGAGTGAGTGATATATTATTAATTATATCAAGATAAAACTGCCATCTTGAAAAAAATTAACTTACTTGATTTCCGATGAGTCTAAAATTGAGTAGCAGCCCCCACTGACAAGCAGCACAGTAGCGGTCATGGTAGATCCTCCTACTCTATACACCAAGACATAACGTCGATCCTAATAAAATTATAAAATATGTTTCAATAACAAGAAAACCCTCGCGAAATCATAGTGTTCTCCTTCTTCATAAAAACATAAACCATGGTTTTGTGCAAGTTTTTGCGGATTTTAGTATTTTTTTCCAACATGTATAAATGATGTAAAAAATTAAACACCTTGTATTATCATCAAATTGGATAGAACAATGTATGGGATGTATTTATCAAAATCCTAAAAATCCTTATTTAAAAACCGGTTTCAAAATCTTTGTGATTGTTTTAAGAGAAACTATTGATTCTTTGCAAAGATTTTCCCTAAGCTTTGACCGGTAATCCAAAATCCAAAATTTGAATCATGCAATTCGAAATCGGTGAAGATTCCTTTTTAGTAATAATATATAATAATAATAATAATAATAATAAAACTTGAAAAATTCCAAATATATTTTTACCTGATATTGTTCTATTCCATGTGCTAAACAAGCGGCTACAGGTTCATTAACAACCTAAATAGTAATTTTGTAAAATGGTTTCATTTTTCAACTGCTATCTTCATCTTCAACTGTTACTTCTATTGAAGAAAGCATTATTCAGAACTTGTGTTTTGAAATTCTTGGGATCAATCATTGATCTCCATCTTATGCAGATCTACGGTATATGTGCATTGCGTTTATATATTGAATTAAATTCTTTCTTTTAATATGTTAGCACTTATTGGGAGTAATTATTTTTACTTAAAACTTTTGAAAAGATAAAAATAAAAATTGGATTTTTTCAAAATTTGCAACAATTTTTTTTTAAAATCAAACTGTCTTTGTTAAAGTCGCCAAAACTGTTTAACATCATTCTAAATCAACCTTATTAAGAAAATTGGAAATATTTTCGTACAGTTTTAATTTGTCCAATGGGACTCCTAAAACTGTGGAATCAAAAACGACTCAAAATATGACGTTAAAAATACAATTCACATAAAACACAGCAATTGAGCACTTGAATTGAACACTGGCGCATTTCAATTAACAAGTTTTGATTTTCAAGCTATTTATGTTTACTATATATTGTACAAAACATCAAATTCACAGAAGATTGATTAAATATCGTCTTCCTAATTCAATGTTTTATGGATCTTACTGTACCTGTACAACCCGGAATCCAGCAGCAGTTGCACTTTTCTTGACAATCTCCCGCTGCTCCTCCGAGAACCCCAGAGGGACGGTAATCACAGTGTTACTCTCGTCAACATTAGCGCAGTGAGACGCGGCAATATCATGCATATACTTGTATATATGGGTCAGAACCTCTTGGGGAGAAATAAAGAAATCCTTTTCTTGAAAATCCACCTGGTATTTTACTACGTCATCATTTTGGACAATTGTGACGGGAGAGTCCGTTATGGATTCGCCGGCGATCAATCGCTTGTTACAAGTGATTGTGTTCGCTAGATTACGTATCCTGCCTTGTTTAGCGGCCAAACCGACGATTATCTCGTTGTCGTGGAATCCAACCATAGCCGGGGTAACCCTGAAAAGGACATTGTTTAACAATATTGCTTTTACCCGGAGATGTGCTCAGTAAAGGGAGTAGATTTTCTCAACTGTTCTATGTTACTCGGAATTGGAAGAGATTTGGACTAACAAGCAACATTTAAAAAAGACGATTTTTTTAAAAATCCAAATTGCCATGCAAAAACCGGTTTTGTGACTTTAAAGTCGAAAAATTAACTAAAAAAAGCAACAAAAAAAAATTCTTTAAAATTCGTCGAATTAGGTATCAAAAGATCCGTGTTGAAACACAGAAATCAGAAATGTTGGCAAATCAAAATCCGTTAGTCTTCTTACGCATCTTAAGATACCCATATCGACATATTTTGAACCCTTACAGTCACTTTTCCATAGCAATTTTACAAAAAACTTTTTTTTGAAAGTTGTTCAGATTGACAATACCCACCCAAAACCAACTTACAATATTTAAATTTCATAACAAAATGTAAAATTATACCCCCCCCCCCTTCGTGCTCACTCTTTTGGTTCTAAAAACCAAAGCGGCATTTATTTAGCTTAAAAATCATTTATCCCAAAATTGAGCGATATAAACCATAAAGAAATTTTAATTGTTTTTTAAAATATTGACTCCTAAAAACAGATAAACAAATACCCCTGTGTATTATGAATATCATGAGATCATAGTTGATCAGACTAAACTTTTAAAGGTCCTGCCACTCAATTAATTGAGGGTCACTTGAAATCACGTTTAATCAGACAAAATTGATTTTTTTTATTATTTTGACATCATTATCTTAGCTTTAATTAAATAAATGTATTACTTATGATCTAAAAACATTTGTGAGACTTGCTGTGCTTAGGATCCATTTAATTTTGATGCGGATCCGGATCCTGGATCCGCACTAGAAAAATATTGATCCGGATCCAGGTCATTTCTCTAAGATTAACTGAATTTTTTTTTAATAAAAATAATTTTCAAATTTTGTTTCATGTTTTTCGCATAATTTTATCCTAAAACTCGATGAACCATTCAGAAATGAGGAAAGTTTTTTAATCTCTCTTTTTTTCAAAAATTCAGATTTTGGTTTTTGTAGAAAAAAAGTTTTTTTTTGCAGTTTTTGGTTGATATTTTACCCTTGGATCCGGATCCGTGGATCCGCATATTTTTGCGGATCCGGATCCAGGAAGCCAAAATCTTCCGGATCCTAAGCACTGGAGACTTGTCCATTAATTCCTGTTTTTTCTCTACTTCATTGCATACATTTTTTGTATTTACCTGTCTCCTGCATCATTAGCCACGACATCCGTTTTCCCCTCTTTACTAACCGCGATACAAGCGGAAGTATTCCCTATGTGAACCCCGAATGAGGTGCTCATCTCTGAAATTATAAATATAATAATAATTTTAACGGGACATACTGCAAGCTCTTTAAATTAATTCTTATCATTAAAGGGACTGTAAGCGTAATTTCAAGTGACTTTTCATTTAAAAAGGAGAATCCCCGACTCACAACGGTACCCTTTATAACTTTGGGTACAATTGGGTACCGTTGTGAATCGGACATGGATGTTCAATTGAAAAAAAGCTTACAGTCCCTGTTGCTGATGCTGTGATGTGATCAACTTCAATCGAGTCCGAGTTTCATAATAATTTGAATTAAATAAATAATTAAATAATCATAATTTCATTGATAAACCGCCGGGGCAAAAATGTCTGTCTGAGACGAGATATATTCCACCAAGAACTCAATAAACTTTGAGATAAACTTGAGTTTCTTGTTCTTAAATCTCATCTTGAGAAAAATATCTGGAAGCTTGACCATAAACCTAGCTAGGTGAACACCACCATAGATAAGACTGGCCGGAACCGGTTCTTCGAAATAAACCGACTCTGGGAGTAGTTTCCAACTGTAGAGTTCCCGCAGTATTTGATGAGATTTCTTGGACTGTGGATACTGAGTATGGTTTGAGGATGGAAGGACCGGGGTTTCCGCGCCGCTGCTGGCGCTAGCTGTGCTTCCAGCTGATCCGTGAACTAGCGGATTTTCACATTCGCTTTCTTTTTTCGTGGATTTTCGGGAAGGTTTCTTTTTCACAACCTCTTCTGAAGAGTCTTTTTTTACAGAGTTTGATTTCGTCTTCACAATGGGTTCAAGGGGAGGTATTGGAGAGCTTTCAGACACCAGGCGTTCAATGCTTTCCATGTGAGGACGGATACTCTTTGATTTTATGAATTGTTCACTTTCCTGCAAAAAGAAACAATGAACATAGGTTTTATTAAAAAATATTTTTTTTTCAAATTTGTATTTCTTACTTGTGGGTAGAGAAGGAACGTGGAGAGATGAAAATCTATTATGATTCTTAATCCTTCAGCTACTTCCTGTTTAAATAAAAATCAATAATAAAAAGCCCCAAAAAAAATCAAGTTTTTTTTTTTTAATTGTACCTTAACAATATTTATACTCGCGATGACATCCTCGAATAGTTCGCTTTCCTGCTTCTCAGGCTGTCTAAATATTTCAAACTCGTTCAGTCTTACTATTTGACTGTAAAGGAACTGAACACGTGTCTTTGAATCTGATTTCATATTTCATATTTTGCTGCAACCAGATCTCATAAAACTTTGATATTTCAAACTAAGAATTCTACTACAGCAAATAGTCAAAGGTTAAAATATCAAGGTTTACACCATTAGGTTGCAAAAATATAAAAATGAAGTTAAGTTTGAGGTAAGTGTTAAGTTCATTTGTCAAAGTAATTTGTCTGTCTTTGAATTTCTATCTTTTAAATCTGCAACATCGACAACGAGTGGGAAGCCCAATTCACAACGGTACCCTCTAAATCTGAATCTAAGTAACAATGAGGAAGATATTCTCGCATTTCTATTTTAATGTTAAAACGTGCAGAAATCAGACTATTAGCATAAATCCGCTAGTTACTTTCATAGAAAAACAAATTGTTTCACCTGTATTGATGTTGCTTCTGGTTTTGTTTCTCTAATGCGGATAACCGGTTAATAGCGTAGTTTCTGGAACCAATCAATCAATTAATCAAGAATTGAAAGCTTTAAACTCTTTCCCAGTTTAGCAGACCAAAACAATTTAGACAATAAACAGTAGACAATGGTAACTCAAAAATAGACCAATCCGAACACAAAATAAGAGTTGACAAAAATCAGCAAACAAATGTAAAAAAAGAAAAATGACATTTGTTAAAAATAAAAAAATATGTATTTATCACTTAATTGTTACATAAATCAATAAATCTAAAAACTAAATTAAGGAAAACAAGAAGGCAGACTCAAATCAAACGGTTTACGAGGGAAAAAGTAAATATACGCATAAATACGAGTATCCTAACGTAAAAAAGTGAGAGTACTCAATTATTCTCTATTCTACGTTAAGGGGAAGGTGGAGTTGTCCTAATTGATATGGGGGGGAGTTCCTGCTTTCATTTTTGGTTCAAATTAGAGGTCATCAGAGGTCTCTAGAGGTCAAAAGAAGACCAACCACTGGATTTGTTGCTGCTTCTGTATTCCCTGGGTTTCTAGCTTTCAATTTTAATATGCATAAAGCCATAGTTAAAACATTTGTTATTGGTCGAAGTCATTAAAGGTCATTAGAGGTCACTAGAGGTCATTAGAGGTCATTAGATGTCATCATTCTCCAATTTTATTTTATTTTTATTAAAATAGCTCCTTAATTAGGCGTGCAGCCAAAAAATCAGTAGATTTGAACCAAATAAAAAGGCAGAGACCCCCCCCCCTCCCTACATCAATTAGGAAATCTCCACCATCCCCTTTAAATTAATTTACATCTTGCAGAATATCCATTGAATAATATTTTAACATTGCAGAGACAGCTTCAATTAGTCCAATTTAAAAAACATGATCATTTAACTTGACACTTAATTCACATACACAAAATGTAATAGTGTGTCAAACTTTTGTGCTTTTTGATAAACGATCTTATTCCTCTCTAAAATCGATCGGGGGAAAAGGAGGGTCGAGAGACAAGAGCTTTTTAAATCCCTTGATGACAAAGCTGGATGGAAATATAAGTAAATATAAACCAGAGAACTCCGCTAATCTCCTACTTGAAGAACTCTGAGACCGAATTTAAAGAATTTCAAACAGGAGACGCTGTTTAAACATGGTTTGTTTAACTTGAAATTTTAATCAGTGTTTCGAGATTTGATCCGGTGCTCAATTGAAACCAGTTATTGGCGGTTCAGCGACGCGGTTCAAATTCTGTAAATTAGGCCTCTGAAATCACAAACAAACAAGCAAACAAACAAAACTAGTACTAACCCTTGAATGAACTAAGTTTTACCTGACATATCCCTCCAGAAGTGTTATAATATTAGGTTGAGCAGGAAGTTTAACCAGCTTTCCATCTGAAAACATAAAAAAATATACAACGTTTTTTTTAAGTCATTGCATTGGAACATATTCGGTTTCAGATGAAAAAATGACGCTTTAAAGATGAAGATAAAAAAATTAAAAACCTAACATAATTTAAACAACTTAAAATTTAGCTGGCTTTCAAGGGACAGCCGTGGAAGCATCAAAGTGAGACTTGATTTTAAAAGGTAAATGCCCGATTCACGACGGTACCCTTTAATCCTAAAGCTAGAGAACCCCACGGTTAAAATTTTAAATTTTCAAACAGAAAATTAAGGATATCTCTTCCGATAGAAGGTCAATTGAAATTACATTAATAAAAGGTCATTATTTTCAACTGTATTAGATTCTAACCCAAGGGCAGTTATGTATAATGTTTACGGTGTTTTTCTCTGAATCGGAAGAAATAAATTAACTTTTGAGGGAAAATTATCAAAAAGGATTAAGATTGAAGACGTGCCCTTTTTCCCCCAAAATCCATTAAAAAACATAAAATTTTAAGAAATATTTACAGTAGTATATAATACACCCATGTTCTAACCTGAGATAAACTTAAAGTCTAGTTCAAGTCCAGTTTTTAGTTGTTGTGGTAGGTTGAGAGGGATAGGTTCGGTACAAATATCCTCGGTCTCATCAACACCACCTTCAACCTTCTCATCATCAGGTTCATCATCATTTCCATTCTCCCTGAAATATTAGAATTAAATAATTAGGATTTAGAATGAAAATGACCGTAGAACTAGGGAGTGGAGGAGAGGGTTGGCTTACATTTTATTGTGACAACTAAGGAACTAGTTTAATTTTAAACTACAACAAAAAGATTGGCCTGGCCTTAGCAATCAACTAGTTCCTATGCTTTCAAAACCACACCGTGCAACACCGGCCTGGAGTCCAATTAATATTGGGGGTGGGGGGAAAGAATTTCAAAAGGGGGGGAAGAAAAATAATTTCGAGTAAAAAAATACAGCCCTGTATCAAACCCTACCTTGGACTTGAAGAAGGATCATGCTCCTCCTTGTAGTCCAACTCCTCCCTGCTCTGGTTTACCAGCTCCTCGCTGAAGTTCCTCTTGAACTGAATCTCCTCGTCCTCGGAGTCCAGCAGACTCATCCTCTCCTCCCGACCTCGCTTCATCTGAACAAATAACAAACCATGATTCAGTTTTTCAGGGGTGTATATTCTTCTTCGGGGGGAGGGGTGATTTTTGATGAATTGGGGGGCAAATGCAAAATATTACACCAAAAAGCAATTTTATTCATTCTTGTTGATACTTTTCCCTAAAAAATCAATTATTTTTCCTAAATAATCATTTATTTTCCCAAAAAAATCAAATATTCTCCCTGAAAATTCAATTATTTTTCCTGAAAAATCAATTATTTTTCCTGAAAAATCAATTATTTTCGCTAAAATATCATTTTTTTTCCATAAAAAATAAATTGTTTTCCCTGTTAAATCATTTACTTTCCCCAAAAAATCAATTATTTTTCCTGAAAAATCAATTATTTTTCCTGAAAAATCAATTATTTCCCCTGAAAAATCAATTATTTTCCCTGAAAATATCATTTATTTTCCCCGAAATATCATTTATTTTCCCTGAAAAATCAATTATTTCCCCTGAAAAATAATTTATTATCCCTGAAAATATCATTTATTTTCCCTGAAATATCAATTTATTTTCCCCAAAAAAATTAATTTTTTCCCTGAAAAAATCATTCATATTCCACAATTCAACGAAAAACAACCAAACAAAAATTTTGCGCTCAGCGAAAAAATATATAACTTCTGGGGGAAAAATATGATTTTATAAAAGGGGGTGGGGAAATGACCTTTTAGGGAAATATACACCCCTGCATTTTTTTAATTAAAAATAAGTGGACGTAATTTCCTCAAAAAAAAGACAAGTGTTTAGGCTTAAAAAAATTAATAAAGTTGCAAGATTCTTCCTAATCTATAAAGGGTGGAATAAGAGATTAACTTACCTGATATTTAAACTCTGATGATGTATCTGAAGGAACAGGACTGATCGGGTTCGAATCCAAACTAGCCCTTCAAAAATTAAAAAATTAATTTTAAATTTGATTTTTTTTGATTTTGTTAATTATTTCTACCTCGTCTTGTCAGTTGATTTTCTTTTTCTACTTTTGTCTTTTCTCATTTTAAACTCTTCTGTTTCCTGTAAAAAAAACCCTATTTTTTTGCTAATAGAGCAGCTTACGTATTCTTGAAATACTATAACTATGATTTTTTGGAATAACTGAGGAACTAGTATTATGTAAAAATAACCAAAGAACGTGCATCGGCAATAATTTTAATGTTAATTCTGTGTTCACCTCGTAAAGAAGTCTTTGTTCCTTCCTCGTATCTTCGTTGTCCTTTAGGAGCATGTCATCAGCCACGAACCTGATCAGGAAATGGTAAAATTTGCGGATTTTCCGGTTTTATTTATGCAACTTTAAAATTTGAATCATGGCAGGACAGGGGTAATATTAAGGCCCACAAAAAAAACTGATTAATCAGTTACGTCATTTTGCCGCTTAATGGAATCAAAAGAAGCCAACATACAAAGATAACAAAAAAAAATATATAATTTTAAAATTGCTGGAATAATTAATGATATTCTACCTGTCCCAACTTGAATTCCATCCCTGGAAATGAACAAAATAATCGAATCCTCGTCGGTTTTTCTCATCCGGAGAACCCTAGGCACAAGCTTTATAACGTATCTGACGGAAACTGATAAAAAGAAGTAAGGAGGCATCAAAATCGTGTCGAATTATAAAAAAATTTTCTGAACAGATTAAAAATCAGGCTTTCAACTAATTGTTGCGGTCATTTTTTCTTTGCGAACTCCTCTTAACAGTAAAATGTTTTACATTTAAAATATTGTACGTATTTTGTCTCATATTTCTATGTACACTGGTACAGGGTGTCGCAAAAAAAACTTTGTAGTACGGGTTTGGGGTGCAGAAGGAAAAAATGGTCTTCAACTTTCCACAATTAAGGTGTAAATTTATTCTTCCTAGGCTTCATACTCATTATGTTACAATCACCATTTTGAGTATACGTCGAAAATCAATTTCCCGGATTTTTAAACTTTAATTTTTATTTGTTCATAAATTATGAAAAAACTGTGTTATTTAATAAGAATAAAACTAAGCTTAGAACAACCAGTCAAACCATGCCTGTTGACACAAAAAAGCCAACTTCAGTTTTATTATAATTAATTGAATAAAATTAACAGATTTACAACCATGACACCATGACAGATTAGTGTGCAATTAAATTAACTACATACAGTAAAAGAAGATTAGTGTGCAATTAAATTAACTACATACAGTAAAAGAAGATTAGTGTGCAATTAAATTTAACTACATGAAGAAAAAGAAGATTAGTATGGAAATAAGTTAAAACACAAACACAAGAAGATTAGTGTGCAATAAGATATAAATGTAAATACACGTGCAATAATGTTGAAATTCACTTAATGTTAAAGAAGATTTTAGTGCATTTGTATTGAAAACACAAAGCAACAAAAGACGAGCGTGCAATAGATAACAAAAATATTACAAAACATCTGTAAGTAGAACTCGTGCAAGACAACAAATATAGTGGTCTATTTAGTGTTAAAACATGCCTAAGATTTATGTCATGGGGTTTAAATGTAATTTCAAGAGACTCTACATTTAAAAGCTAGAATGCCCGAAACAAGACAACTCTTGAAGTAAAGTATTCATCATACTATCAAAAAATGTATAATTTTTTCTGAACTGTTTACGAAAAGAGTGATGGGGGTCCGTCCTAGTGAAAGATTTTTGGCCCCCCCCCCCCCCACTCCTATCAATTTTGTACATGACCAAATTAGTATTTATTTAGTATTATTTAGGGTTAGGTTAGGTTAAGACACTTTCTGGGCCGATCGCTGGGGCTAGGGGGCCGAGCGCTGCGGTCACGGGTTATGTTAGTTAAGACACTTTCTGGGCCGAGCGCTGCGACTAGGACAGGCTAGGGGGCCGAGCGCTGCGGCCACATGATTAATTATATAAATGTCTAACATTTAAGATCCATGTACAAAATTGATAGGAGGGGGGGGGGCGGGGTGGGGTCCAAAAATCGTTCTCTAGGAATATACCAGTTATGGAGTGAAATAACGAAACCACTTTAATTGGGTCTGTCCTAGTGTTTTGTACATGACCACTAATTTTTCACCTATTTTATCCATGTGTTGCATAAGAGATTCATGTACAAAATTGATAGGAGGGAGCGGCCGGGGGCCACAAATTTTTCACTATAAAATTACCCTTTAACTTTACAAGGGTACCGTTGTGAATCAGGCCTAGTTGACTGTTTCATTGGAAGGTTACATCCATCTAAGCAGATAAGACTATAAAATAATAATTAACAAGGACAAAAACAAAAGAGAAAATTGACGTAAGACCACAAGCTCATCAATAAATGGAATTAAGAGGGAGGGGAAGGAACTATTGAGCCCATCCACCCCCCACCCCCTCCCACACCGCGCTGACTGAAGTACTTTAAACTATTTACTAACTAAACACGCATGCCCAAGCTATAACATCCAAATTTGCTACACTGCTCACAAATACCTTTTGACTTGGTCTTAGATCAAGAATTTTAGCATCGTACAACATTTTAATTTTCTTAGGGTCAGGTTCATAACACAAAACACGCTCACCGATATCAAATTTAGGTTTGGGTCCACGGGTAGAAACCATTTTGAAATTCTGAGCACAAAATTTTTTATTATATTCAATTTCGGCACATCTACAACTAATTTTTATTGTATAAAAGGCGTAAAAATCCTAAATTAAACTTCTTGACTTTATTTCGACATTCAATTAGGCTACTTTAATGTTGCACTCGGCTGTTTTCCGCGAAATTTAAAAATGCGCAGCACACTGTAGAATGCCGCAAATGAGGAAAAACTTTCAACATAAAATAAGAAGACGACAGATTTTTGAAAAAAAAAATGTTATAAATAAATATAAAACTAAATTCAATTTCATTGTTTGTTTACTTGTCAACTTCACATTTTCGATTATTCCAAAATATAACAATTAATTTTTAATTTCATATTTAAAATTTAAAATTTTACACTTGTGGTTAAAGGCAGGTATAATAATAGTAATGCTAGTAGTGCTTGTAGTATTAGAAAGCTCAATGATGGTTGGGGAAAGCTTTGGAATTTAATAATATGTTTTATTGTTGGTGGTTTAGGTTGCTTTAATACACAGATTGTGAATAGGGCTCAGTAGGTATATTTTCAAAACGTGAACCAGACATTAAACAATTAAGTTGAAAATCTGTTTTGACTGACACAAATTTTGAAACAATAGTTAAGTGTCCCGTTAGGTTTTTCGCCTTTCTCGGAGTGAAATCTAGAATAGAATTTAATGAAACCAAACTGCTCACGCCTTGATTATGGGAGTCTAAGATAATGATGATAGTTTTTATGTGGTTGATATGTTAATGGAAGATAGTGATTTAGATGACATTCTCAATGATATTCTTCAAGATGATGAACCTATAAAGAAGAAGACTCCTATCCGGAGTTCTACAACACAACCTCAAGCTCCTACAGCACCTGGATACAAACCTGAACCTTCTCCAGGTCCTCTAGCAACTGGACCCAACCCTGAACCTTCTCAGGTTCTTCTGACACCCGGATCCAAACATGAACCTTCTCCTGTTAAGAAAGATAATCCAAAAAATGGAAACGCCGAGTCTGATAAACAAAATAAAAAGAAGTTAATGCAAGAACTTTTCCTTGACAAGAAAGAAAAGGAAGATTTTCCAAAGACTGAAAAAGTTAATCTTCAAGAACCTAGGAAAACGGAACCAACCAAATCTATACCCAAACCAGAAGTTAAGGAGGTTCTTAAAGAAAAAGTGTCTGAAAATTCCAAAATGGATTTTGACGACGACATTCTCGGCAAGATAGAAAAACCTCGGGTCGGAGCTTCCAAAGTTAGTTTTATGGACGATATTTTCGGAAAGAAAAGCGAAAAAGAATCAAAATCCAGTTTTCTGGATGATCTTATGAGCGGAGAAACAGGAAAAAGGCGAAGTTCTAAACCAGAAAATGAATTCGTCCTAGACTCCAAGTACAAAAAGAATGAGGATAACGCCGAACTCAACCCTCAGCCTAGAAGAAGAAGAGGAAATCCTGAAGTTCAGACCAAGGAAACTCTGTTTAAAGAAGACAAAACTAAAGAATCTATCGGTGCTGCGGAGGACAATCCTTTTCCTTGGATGGCGAAGACGTCTGAAACCAAACCTCCTCAAGAACCACCTCAACAACAACAACAAAATATACCTCAACAACCACCTGGTGCCACCCAACAACCTCAACAGCCTCAAGTAAGTACCTACCAACAACCTGCAGTTGGGCATCAACCACCAATGCCCACCTATCAACAACAAGCGCCTTACAACTCGGTTCCTAATCCCTATCTCCCGCAACCAGTGCTTCCTCAGTACCAACCGCAACTTCTTCCTACCCAGCAGTATCAACCGCTACCTCTTCCTGATATAGCAGGACTAGAACGGAACCAGGCAGAAGCTTTCAATAGAGAAATGGAAAATCTTAATCAGGTTAAAATTATAACATTTCTTTAGGGGTGCTAACAAGGAGGCTGAGCTGGGGTTCTCCCTCCCCCCCCCCCCCACACTCATATTTTACATTGCCTTTTTTCAGGCTTAAAACTCCACGTTATGACGATATATATATTATCACCCATATTATATATTCTATACCGTTACACTTTCTATGATAATTATCTATATTTTCTATAATGTTACTTTTTTATAGTTATCTAAATTCTCTGTATTGTTTACACTTAATTTATAATTCTCTATATTTTCTATAACTAGGCTTTTAGGGCGCTTCGTTCACATCTTGTATTTTAACTTTTAATTGTGTATCTATCTGCGATCATCTTCTCTTTGTACAATATAAAACAATAACAAAAAAAAGTTTGCGGATTTAATAATATTTTTTCGCGCATTTTCAAAATTTAACGAAAATCAAAAAACTTTTGAACACACATTTTTGCAATTTTGAGCATATATAAACCTTACACTTTCTATATTCATCTATATTTTCTATAATGTTACACTTTCTATATTCATCTATATTTTATATAATGTTACACTTTTTATATTCAGCTATATTTTCTAGAATGTTACACTTTCTATGTTAATCTATATTTTCTATAATGTTACACTTTCTATATTCATCTATTTTTTCCATATGTCACAATTTTTCTTATAATTTTTTTCTAAAATGTTGCAATTTCTATAATTACATTGATTCTATAATGTTACACTTTATATAATTCTATAATAATTCTTAGTTAGATAAGTAAACATTACAATAGCTTAAAAGATAAATAATAAAAAGAAAAATCTATTCTTTGTAAAAGTTTCCACGTTAAGTAATATCTAAGTAATTTAGTTTTTAAATTAGTATTGTTAAAACATTATAGGAAAAGAACTTAAAAGAAAGGTTAAACAGACAATTGTAATTATACAGATGTAATCTTATATATAGTGGAGGAGGAGCTTTAGTAAAAAAAAGACTCTATCTGGCTTATCTTAAAAGCACTCTCGGGGACGGTTTGGAAATCTTTTGTCCCCCTTTTGAAACATAAGAACACCATAGATATGTTATGTTTCCCCTTGAATCCAGCATATTTGCCCCCTCCCGAGCACTCCCAAGAATGGGGGCCAAAAAATGAACGCTTCGCAAGCCTTTTTGACGACGTTCTCCCTGTAGATGATGCAGCAGAGGAAGGCAGAGCAGATGGCAGGGATGGAACGGCAGAGAGAGCAGATGGAGAGAGCAGTGAGAGAAATGCAAGAGCGAAATTTCAGGGTGAGTAAAAAGTAACATAAAATCCCTATTATATGATTTTGTTTCATGTACATTGTACAATGTGTATATATATATATATAAATATATATATATAAAGAGAGAAGTGAAATGTTCACTGAGGGAATGTTTAGCAAGAAAACGTTAATTAAGGAAACGTTTTGGAAGGAAACATTCAGAAAGTAAACGTTCAGTAAGGGAATGTTCAGTAAAGGAACATTCAGTAAGGAAACGTTCAGTATAAGGAAAGGTTCAGTAAGGAAAGGTTCAGTAATGAAACGATCAGTAAGGAAACGTTCAGTAAGGAAACTTTTCAGTAAGAAAACGTTAAATAAGGAAACGTTCAGTAGGGAAACGTTCAGTAATGAAACGATCAGTAAGGAAACGTTCAGAAAGGAAACGTTCAGTAAGGAAACTTTTCAGTAAGAAAACGTTAAATAAGGAAATGTTCAGTAGGGAAACATTCAGTAAGGAAACATTCAGTAAGGAAACGTTCAGTAAGGGAAAGCTCAGTAAGGGAACGTTCAGTAAAGAAACGTTCAGTAAGGGAACGTTTAGTAAGGAATCATTCTGTAAGGAAACGTTCTGTAAGTGCTTCGATTTAATTTACAAAATGTTTGTTGTCAGCTTAGTCAGCAGCAAGCAGAGCAGGGTCAACGTATGCTGACACGGCTGCAGCAGCAGATGGAAGAGGAAGCGAGGAGCAAGCAGAACCTGCTCATCAACCAATTACAGATCATGACAAAGATTAACACTGAGCTACCTGGATACTCTCTGGAGGGTGGAGATATAGACGCCATTATTCAGAAGCTACAGGTAAATAGAAAACGTTTATTTCAGGAACTGAACATAATTGCCAAAAGAATTGAGTCTTTGACCCAAACTTTGATTTGTCTATTTCAAACTATAAATTGTGTTATATTGAATAATCTCAGTTAGCTCAGATAAAGGAATTTGTAAATTTGAATTCGTGGCAAAGACTCAATTAATTTTCTAATTTCTATATTTTCAAAGTTTAGATCCTTTGTTTCATGAATGGCACGGCTTTTTAAAATAAGTCCACGCCTTATTTTGTACTGTAAATTGTTTCTTTTACCTGCAACCATTATTTGTTCGTGCATTGCAGAAACAAAAATAATAAACATTTTGAGTTGCAGAAACCTTCTTATGCATGTTTTCCATCATAACTTCTCGTTTAAAAATGCTATTTAGAAAAACAAAAAAGTTTTGAGTTTCTTATATGCAACCAAATAAATTCACTTTTATCATACTTAGGCGTAAAATTAAGATTACATAAATTTTACCTTTCCCTTTGGTTTAGAATGGAGTTAAATATAATTTTTTTCTTTCTCTCCTGCAGGCCAATGATAAGGAGGAGAAGAAGGAGAGGAGTGAGATAAAGGAGCTGGTTGAGAAGAAGGTGACTGAGATGCAGGACATATTCGTGGCCAAGGAGGGAAGGATTATTGAAAACTATGAACAAGTTGTTAAGGTTTGTGATCTGTTTTATCAATGACTAGCTTGGAAACCCAGTTTTACCGGGAAACTAAATTTTCGCTATTAAGGTCAACCTACACAAATAAGAATTTGAAAACCAACCTAAGAACATTTACCTCGTTCTGTCGGTTCTCCAATACAAAATTGAGGTCAATCGGTCAAGTGTTACCTGAGTTCTGATCAGACAAACAAACAGACAAACAAACAGAGACTACTTCTTTATATATTTATAGATACTAGCCTGGAAACCCCGCTTTACCTGGAAACTAATATTTCCCTTAAAAAGCTACCCAACCAAGTTTAAACCAAACTAAGAACGTTCTATAAATAAATATTCACTCTATAAATTCACTTCAAATTATCTGTACAGTTTCTATAAAATGTTCCAGGATTTAGAGCATAAGCTGGACATGTCGAACGACAGGTGCAGGCAGATGGTTGAGGACTGGAGGGAGGAGAAGGAGAATATGGTGAATCAGCATAAAAAGGATATCAACCTTCTCAAGGTATTTATTCCTCTGCACTTACAAAGAAAATGGAAACTTCTCTTTTATAATCCATATATATTTCCAACACATGGAATGGTGTAAAACTAGCTTTGATATTCAAAACTTAAACTACTAGATCTTAAAGAATTCATAATTTGAAATATCAACGGTCTACGGCACCAGTTTGCAATGGTATTTTAAAAATAGAAGTTAACATCAATATCTACAAAATAAAGCTCTTCGCTTAAAAATATATATATATGTATGTTTATGTATGTTTATATATGTATTTATATATATAAATATTTGTATATATAAATATATATTTGTATGTTAGCATGAAACATAATGTTGATTCACAATAAATATTCAAATCATGTGTTGAATATTTCTTTTCTTATATTTATATATACATATATACAAGGCTTTAAGAGCGCTTCGCGTCCATCTTTTATTTCAATGGTAAACATTTTCTCTTTGTATACATTTCAAAACAAAAACAAAAAAAGTTCGCGGATTTCATAAAAAATCATAAAATGTCGTGGATTTTTAAAATTGATTGGAAATAAAATTTTGTTGGAGGCAAATTTTTTTAATTTTAATCATTTATAAACCATCCCGATCGGTTCAGCTGTTTTGACGTTTAATGGATGCAAACGAACAGACAAGCAAAGTATATATATATATATAGATATTTTAACTGTGAACATGTTCTCTTTGTATACATTGTAAACAAATACAAAAAATAATTTGGCGGATTTCACCATAAAACTTCGTAGATTTTAAAAATGTTCAAAAATTTAATGAAAATCGAATTTTGATGGGGGCAAATTTGTGAAATTTTGATCATTCTTTAACCTTCCCTGGGGCCACGGGAATTCCCACACAAATTTTGGGCCCGATCGGACTCGGTTCAGCAGGTTTGACGTTTATTGGATACAAACAGACAAGCTATAAAATTCGGTGATGGTGATGGACCAAACCTCTGTAGAGTAAAAATAGTAGATGTTAGTTCCACAATTTGAAAATATATTTCGGTCTGGGTTGACCCTAGTCAGTTTTTGAGTTTGTTTCTGTCAGGAAGATTAAAAACAAACTCAGACAAAACAGACAAGCAAAACAAATATATATATAAAGATATATAAATATGTATATAGTTATATGTTAGCCATAGCTGGCCAAACGGCTGGATCGAATGCGCTGAAATTTTTTGAGGAAACCCTTGAGTACCCCGGAGTAATATAGGCTAAAATTAAATGGAAATTTTTCTTTCAAAATTCGATTTAAAAAATCCCACGGGAAACGCCGGGCACTTCAGCTAGTTAGTTCTAATTTATTAAATAATAAATAAATAAGTTACATATATCTAGAGGAAAAAGACTTCACTACATAGAGCTTCTCAAGTTCTCAACCCTGTATTTAAGGAGACCCATACAGAAGCAATGGAGTGCCTGAAGGATGAGTATAGAAGAGTTATTGAACGGATCCAGGGACCGAATTTAATGAATTGAGAGAAGTTGTTGAACTCCATAGAGATGGCTCAAGAATTTTGTATTGCTGGTTCAACTTTAGGTTTTTTTAACTATACTTAGTAACAAAGAGCCAATTGTAGCTCCGATATTTTCGCCGCTCTGATTGGTTTGAAATGTCGGAAAATCAGCTGACTTCACATTAGGGTTGTTGTAAATCTTTAAATTTGAATAAGTGATTCAGGATTTGAGCCAGTTAGCACTTCAGAAGTAGTTGAACTGACTCTTTGTAGTTCAGGGAATTCTCTCCAATTCATTAAATACGGATCCAGGAGATCAGAAGGATTGAGATAGATTCAGAAAAAGAGCATCGAGATACAACGCTTCAGCTCTCAAACCTGGTTCACAATATGCAGTCCAATAGTAAGGTAATTTTCCTTCATACAAACTACTTTTGTTATATGTTTGTTTCAAGAACAGTCAACATTATTTAAAGTGGGCCTTTATTCACAACGATGTCCATAAAACCTTTATCTGTGTAACACTAAGGAAATTATCGTGCTTTCTTGATCAATTCTGTCAATTTCTTCCCTTGTCTTCAGTTTCTGCTGAATAAATCTTTTACTTTTACAGAAAAACTGCAAATGAAAATATTTTTTGGAGAGAAAACAGTAATATCTTTATCTTTTTGCTAAGAAAACGCTTTAAAGGGTACCATTGTGAATCAAACATGTATGCTCTTTAAATGGAGGGTCACTTGAAAAAATGCCAACAGTGGCGGAAATAAGGGGGGTTATTGGGGTTATTTCCCCCCCCCTAGAATCCTGGGGGTAAATACCCCCCCCCCCCTAGAATTCTAGGGGTAATTACTCCTGAACATATATTCAGGCCCTGAATTGCACTCATGCACTCCCATCCTAGTAGATTAAAATTAATCAAACATGAAGACATTCTGAACAAGTTTTTAAGCGCCAAGCCGCGCCGACTTTTTAATGGAGGAAAGAGTTTTTACTTTGTTTTTGTTTTTAAAAAATGGTTGATTTTAAAATTGAATATCTTTTAAATTTGCACAAAAACAATTAAAATGTGCACTGTGCAGATACGTCGGAATCAGATATTTCAAATTTTAAGTCAACATTTTCTAAATGATTCTAAATTCTAAATCAATCTCTTCTTTTTGATATTTCTCCAGGAGATGTCAGATATAAAGGTTAAAGTGGAGAAAGGTCTTGAGAAGCATCTTGATAGTAGAGAGGTTCAACTCCAGGTTCAAGAACATCAGCTCAAGATACTCCAGGTAGGATTTATAGCAGCAGAGTAGAGAAGTTCAAAAATAACAGCTCAAAATACTCCAGGTAGGGTTCATAGTAGGAGAGTAGAGATTTTCAACTTCAGGTTCAAAAACAGCAGCTAAAGATACTCCAGTGGCCGAATTTAAAGAATTTGAGCGGCGGTTTAAATTTAAGCCGCGGTTTAAATATGGTTGGTTCCACTTAAAATTGTATCAAATGTTTAAAGATTTAAGCCGGCGCTTAATTTAAACCGGGTTTTGGCGGATTTAAACCACGGCTCAAATTCTTTAAATTCCATCTCTGGTTTATAATAGTAGAGTAGAAAGTTCAACTCCAGGTTCCAGAACAGCAGCTCAAAATACTCCAGGTAGGGTTTATAGTAGGAGAGTAGAGAAGGTAAACTCCAGGTTCAAGAACAGCAGCTCAAGATACTCCAGGTAGGGTTTATAGCAGTAGAGTAGAGAAGTTTAAGAAAAGCAGCTCAAGATACTCCAGGTAGGGTTTATAGTAGGAGAGTAGAGGTTTGGGAGGAAAGAGGTTAAGGAGAGGAGAGGTTTTATGTAGTGTTATTAATCGTTTTTAAAAACAATCCAAAAAACGATCGTTTTTCGTTTCGTTTTTTTTCTTCTAAAAATGATCGTTTCGTTTTTTGAAAATACGACCTTTTTTAAACGAACCACTCGTTTTGAACTTTAAAAAATATAGTTTTTAAAACGATCGTTTCGTTTTTTTAAAAAGTGGAAATCGATCCATCCCTAGGTTTAGGAGAGTAAAGGTTTAGTGGTTTGGGAGAGTTAGGAGAGTAGAGATTTAGGCGAGTAGAGGTTTATTAGAGTAGAGGTTTAGTAGAGTAGAGGTTCAGTAGATTAGAGGTTTAGTAGAGTAGAAGTTTAGGAGAGGAGAGGTTTAGGAGAGTACAGGTTTAGTAGAGTAGAGGTTTATGATAGTATTGTATATGAATAAAAATCAATAAAGCAATGCACTGAGTTTCTCAAATATTCTACGAGTCTTTAAAGATGGGGGGGGGGGGAAGGGGGCATGATTCCCCTTGGTAGCTATGATCTCAGCGATCCAAAACGTCCTTGAATTGCTGATCGTAAAAGATCAACAAAACTCGCCCACTGTTACAATAGGAGAGGATTATGAGACGCGAGAGGCTTAGGAGAGTAAAGGTTCAGATGAGTAGAGGTTTAAAATAAAAGAGGCTTAATAGTGTAGAGATTAAGGAGAGTATAGAGGTTGAGTAGAGTAGAGGTTTAGGAGAGTAGAGATTAAGGAGAGTATAGGTTTAGGAGAGTATAGGTTAAGTAGAGTAGAGGTTTAGGAGAGTACAGGTCTAGTAGAGTAGAGGTTTAGGAGAGGATAGGTTTAGAAGAGAAGAGCTTTAGGAGAGTAGTGGTTTAGGAGAGCAGAGGTTTAGGAAAGTAGAGGTTTAGGAGAGTGGAGGTTTAGGAGAGTAATGGTTTATTAGAGGAGAGGTTCATGAGAGTAGAGGTTTAGGAAAGTAGATGTTTAGGAGAGTAGAGGTTTAGGAGAGGAGTGGAGGAGAGTAAAGGTTTAGAAGAGAAGAGGTTTAAAAGAGTAGAGATTTAAAAGGGAAGAGGTTTAAAAGAGTAGAGATTTAAAAGAGAAGAGGTTTAAAAGAGTAGAAGTTTAGAAGAGAAGAGGTTTAAAAGAGTAGAGATTTAAAATGGACGAGGTTTAAAAGAGTAGAGATTTAAAAAAGAAGAGGTTTAAAAGAGTAGAGGTTTAAAAGAGTAGAGGTTGAGGAGAGAAGAGCTTTAAAAGAGTAGAGATTTAAAAGAGAAGAGGTTTAAAAGAGTACAGGTTCAGGAGAGGAGAGATTTGATAATGTAGAGGTTTAAGTAGACGTCCTTATGAGTTATATGAACATTTAGAAACACTAGTTTATCACCATATATCTAATTCTGGTATTATCGTTTAGGAATCACTATCAGAGCAGCAGGTTTCGAACGAGAAAGAGCGGGAGAAGCTGATGGATATGCTCCAGCAGCTTAGGAAGGAGTTGGTGGAAAAACAAGCAGAGATAGACAGAGAGAGAAGAGATATCAGGTCAGAGCTCAAAACTTTTGTATTGTTAATCCTCTCAGTAAGCACTAATCCATATCTTTTACATGTTAATTCTCTCAGTAATAACTAATCTGTATCTTTTGTATGTTAATCCTCTGAGTAAGCACTAATCCATATATTTTGCATGTTAATCCTCTCAGTAAGCACTAATCCATATTTTTTGCATGTTAATTCTCTCAGTAAGCACTAATCCGTATCTTTTGCATGTTAATCCTTTCAGTAATAACTAATCTGTATCTTTTGCATGTTAATCCTTTCAGTAATAACTTATCTGTATCTTTTGCATGTTAATCCTCTAAGTAAGCACTAATCCATATCTTTTGCATGTTAATCCTTTCAGTAAGCACTAATCCGTATCTTTTGCATGTTAATCCTCTCATTAAGCGCTAATCCGTATCTTTTGCATGTTAATCCTCTCAGTAAGCACTAATCCATATCTTTTGCATGTTAATTCTCTCAGTAATCACTAATCAGTATCTTTTGCATGTTAATCCTTTCAGTAATAACTAATCTGTATCATTTGCATGTTAATCCTCTAAGTAAGCACTAAACCGTATCTTTTCTATTGTAAATCCTCTCAGTAAGCACTAATCCATATCTATTGCATGTTAATCCTCAGCTCAGTAAGCACTAATCCGTATCTTTTGCATATTAATTCTCTCAGTATAAGCACTAAAAATTCACACGAGATCATTTAAGAACGGGAATATGGCGCTTGATCTTTACTACACCTTAAACTATCCACCCTTCACAGAAAATTGACTGGGTACTGAATCATCTCAAAGGAACTAATAACTTGCATCAAACCGCAAATTTTTGGAACCTGTGGCCGAATTTAAAGAATTTGAGCGGCGGTTTAAATTTAAGCCGCGGCTTAAATATGGTTGGTTCCACTTAAAATTGTATCAAATGTTTCAAGATTTAAGCCGGCGCTTAATTAAAACCGGGTTTTGGCAGATTTAAACCGCGGCTCAAATTCTTTAAATTCCATCTCAGATGTCGTAAACCTTTAATATTTCAAACTATGAATTCCCACTTGATTAAATGGTCACAGTTTGAAAATAAAAGTTTATTCCATCAGAGCCCGCGATTTAAAAACTTCGACTCGAGCCGTAATTCCTTAAACCCGACTTTAAGACCCAATCTTTGACTCGACTTAAGGAGTTAGACCCAATGAAAATAAAACCGACCTTGGTTGGTTTTAGTGGAGAATAAGGCTCTATGTTGAGTATTGTTCTCATAAAAACCCGGAATGCGACAATTCCTACCATGAAAATCCGCCAAATAGAATATTAAACCGGTTTTTTGAACTCAACTCTGTGTAAATAAGATGCAGCTTGAATCCAAAAGCTCAAGCCGTTAATAAGACCCAACGACAGCTTAGACCCGAGCCGTATTTTCCCGAATTTTTTGAATCGCGGGCTCTAGTTGCAAAGTTACAGGGGTTGGAATTCAAAATTTTAGTAAAAGTTTCTATTTAAAAATGGGTGGATCAAGATTTTGATATTGTTAAGTTATGAAAGAAAGCAGCATGAGATGGAGAAGGAGAGCTTTCACCATGAGAAGGAGACTCTGTTAGAGAGCTTAAAGGAGGAGAAGAGGAAGGTGGGGGAGGACAAGATCAAGGGAATGCGGGAGATAGAGAAGATGAAAACGGAACTGATGAGCCAGCAGAGGGAGGTTAGGAGGGAGAAGCAGATGTACTACATACACAAGGAAATCATGAAACATGAGCTCACAACTTTTGAACAGTTAATTAATTTAGAAAGCTCTAATCCGAATCTTTTTTACTCCGACAGATGAAGTTAATTCCCAGAAAACATCTCGAACGTTTGACTAATCGGAGGACACTTAAAGTCTGCTCTTGACCAACGAAAGATCGCAAACATTAGTGTCTGCTGTTGTTTGCCAATTAGGCATTTATAGGAGCAAATTAAGTTTCCTGCTGAATACGTATTTCCGATTTTCATATTGATCTTTCTTCTATAAAACTATCATTAAGTTTTACCTTAATAACAATTTCTCCTGCTCAGATTCACTTACTAATCCTATGCCTAGAGCAAGATAGTTAACCTACTAATCCTATACCTAGAGCAAGATAGTTTACCTACTAATCCTATACCTAGAGCAAGATAGTTTACCTACTAATCCTATACCTAGAGCAAGTTAGTTCACCTACTAATCCTATACCTAGGGCAAGGTGATTCACCTTCTAATCCTATACCTAGAGCAAGATAGTTCACCTACTAATCCTATACCTAGAGCAAGATGATTCACCTTCTAATCCTATACCTAGAGCAAGATAGTTAACCTACTAATTATAAACCTAGAGCAAGGTTTTATGATTTGACAGAGGATAAATCCTACGGATGAGTTTATAGAAGACCCTGGAGTAGATAAGGATGAGGTTGAAGGGATAATCAGAGCAGTAGAATATGAGAAAACTACGCTGAAAGGGACTGTTGACTTTAAGTGACCACCCCACTTATTTAAAAATGTCATGCCCGATGCCCATTGGTACCCTTCACTAATATGCACCCTTACCTGAGTAAAAGTGAGAGAGATATATTCGTTTTTACATACCTAAAAATTGTATTCCTTTTCTCTGCCTTCTGCGTAAATTCGGAAGTTATTTTTACTTGAAATTCCGTCTACAGTCTCATTAAAGGACAACGAGAAACTTTAAAAAAGAACAAGGATAAGATTCAGAACGAGAGGAAGAAAATTGAACTTCAGAAAAGAGAACTTGGTAAATATTTGATTAGTGATTAAAGGACAATGGACGACTTTTTTCATCAGTTTTTTAACCCTATTCCCGCTGGGGGGGGGTCAATTTGACCCCCCCCTGTAGTTTTTTTTACATAACTCAAAAAGTATTGGTCTGAGGCTGTTGAAATTNCATTTAGTTTTACATTTTTCGATTCGAATATTTGTACTAAATTTCAGCTTAGTAGCTTTGGCAAAATTTTCACAAATTTTCACCATTTCCTGAAGACCTGTTCTGCTAGGAGAAAGCAGGATAATATCATCTGCATATACCCAGATGCCCATATAGACACCCTGGATTTGGCATCCAATAGTTGAACATCGTAATAGCTTGATAATTTTGTCAATGTAAATACAGAATAGCACAGGGGAAGAAACTGCTCCTTGTCTGACACCATTTTGTACATTGAAGGTATTTGAGAATGCATTACCCCATCTAACATTACATTTTTGATTTGAGTAAATGAACATTAAACACCTTAATGCTAGAGGTGAAACACCCCTCTCCAATAACTCTGTGAAGAGCACTTCCCATGACACAAGATCAAATGCCTTACTCAGATCCATTGCACAAGCATAAACTGCTCTACCAGCTCTGTTATAATAATCCACTACAGAGTTGACCCCCCAGCTGCACATTGTAGTACTGGCTAGCTTCTGAAACCCAAACTGAAGTTCATCTGTGGTCAGCTTATCAGAGTTTAGAATTAATATCAACCAGTCAAACCATTTTAGAATCAAGCTGCCAATGGCAATTGCCCTGTAATTGTCACTGATAGCAATGTCATCTAAGTTGTCCTTCACTATGGGCACTAATGTGCACAGTAGTAATGTGCACTGTTTCCATACTGCAGTTGTACTTCACATATTTGTGTTGTATAACCTTTTGGGCCCTGGAAAATTATTTTATAGAAAATCCAAAATTAATATTAATATAAAACCAAATTATGAAATAGGCTGGTTTCATAATTGACCAATGATCATTTCACATAGACTCTATGCTTTTCACTTTACATTACAAACGATGATTATCCGTTATAACTATAAATCAAATGATGTTTTTTATTCACCTAATTCATTTTATTAAGTTTATTTAACAACAAAAATTCGAAACTGAAATGGATATTCTAGGGAACATACTGTATTAATGTACTCTACTGCATATAATTTGTGAACATTTACATGATTTGTACACTTTGAACTCCCTTTCAGGCTGAAAAGGGACTGACAAAATTAATACCGACGGATTGTATAAATTCCCCTCTAATATTCTATTTGGGTCTTCCGCTTTAGGTAAATTGGCGGTACAATCCAAACTTAGACCGCAAAGGTCGGATATTCAAATGTACATTTTTGCGGTGCGTCTCCACAAAATGGAACTGAATTTTCTAATTTTAAAATCTCTCCAACCTAATGTTGCAGTTTGTTGACCTTATATTTCAAATTATATATTCCATGAATTCCATGCTGGATCAAATAATTTAAGTTTGAAATATGTATGAAAAAATCAGAGTTTGTGGCAAGTGTTAAATTCTTTTACTAAATCCAATAATTGTCCATATTGTATCCTAAATACAAATTTTCTTCTATTACACTACTAGCTTGGAAACCCAGCTTTGCCTGGAGTTTTCCCCACAAAAGTCGACCCACACTCAACTTAAAATTCTAAATTAAACAAAGAACATTTCCCATGGTTCTACCGAGTTTCCGAAATTTGAGGCAAATACGTTCATGGGTTCAACAAAATAACATTGATAACAACTTTACGGTTTGATTGTGTCTCCACAAAAAAAACAGATCGCTTACCACAAGTCTTTTGTCTATCCAACCCAATGTCGTAGACCTATGAAATTTAAAACTAAGAATTCTGTCCGATCAAATAGTCACAAGTTGGAATTATCAATAGTTGACACTATCGTTTTACGAAAATATATTATTTTTAATACTATTATCATCTTTTATTGGTTTTATTACACAATTTTAACTTGAACAAAAAATGTTAGGTTTTTAAAACGGTTTAAAATCCTTCACAACTATTTTTTCTGTGATATTTTGATAAATTCAAATACATTCAAAAATGTTAATTGTCAGCTTTAGGGTTGATTAAATGTCGTCTTCCTATAACTCGGTTTTAAGAGTCTTGATGTCTAAAATAAAATCATAAGTTTTAACTTGTTTAGCGAACACGGTGGAGAAATTGTTCGAGGTTGAGAGGGGATTGAATGAAAAGTTCCGTTGTATTGATGAATGCAAAAAGAATATAGAGAAGGTATAGAGAAAACTATCATTTTGTTCATAATATCAAAAGAATGAAAGCATTTCGAAAAGTTGTTGAGAAATGATGAACAAGTTGTTAGGGATATCTCTCACATTTTTTAATAACATGAATTCTGTTCGTAACTTCAAAGAAAATGATCGTAACATTGTACAAAATGATTATAATTTCAAACAAAATATTCGAGACTTCTAATAAAATTATCCTAATTTCAAACTAAATGATCATAAGTCGGAACAAAATCAAATGTTCACGATTAAGAATGTTTTTTGTCAGGTAAAGGAAGATGCCGCAAACTATTCCCAAATCTCAGATGGAATAGAGGAAAAGATGTTGGAGGCGTTGGAGGAGATTCAGGTAAACAGTTAATGTTGGAGGCATTGGAGGAGATTCAGGTAAACAGTTTATGTTGGAGGCGTTGGAGGAGATTCAGGTGAACAGTTAATTTTGGAGGGATTGGAGGAGATTGAGGTAAACAGTTAATGTTGGAGGCATTGGAGGAGATTCAGGTAAACAGTTAATGTTGGAGGCATTGGAGAAGATTCAGGTAAACAGTTAATGTTGGAGGCATTGGAGGAGATTCAGGTAAACAGTTAATGTTGGCGGCATGGAAGGAGATTCAGTTAAACAGTTAGTGTTGAAGGCATGGAAGGAGATTCAGGTAAACAGTTAATGTTGGAGGGATTGGAGGAGATTCAGGTAAATATTTGATGTTGGAGGCATCGGAGGAAAATCAAGTAAATATTCAATGTTGGAGGCGTTGGAGGAGATTCAGGTAAACAGTTAATGTTAGAGGCGTTGGAGGAGAATCAGGTAAATAATCAATGTTGGAGGCATTGGAGGAGATTCAGGTAAACAGTTAATGTTGGAGGCGGCTCAGGTAAACAGTTAATGTTGGAGGCGTTGGGGGAGATTCAGGTAAACAGTTAATGTTGGAGGCATTGGAGGAGATTCAGGTAAACAGTTAATGTTGGAGGCATTGGAGGAGATTCAGGTAAACAGTTAATGTTGGAGGCATTGGAGAAGATTCAGGTAAACAGTTAATGTTGGAGGCGTTGGAGGAGATTCAGGTAAACAGTTAATGTTGGTAATGTTGGAGGCGTTGGAAGAGATTCAGGTAAACAGTTAATGTTGGTAATGTTGGAGGCGTTGGAGGAGATTCAGGTAAACAGTTAATGTTGGTAATGTTGGAGGAGATTCAGGTAAACAGTTAATGTTGGTAATGTTGGAGGCATTGGAGGAGAATCAGGTAAACAGTTAATGTTGGTAATGTTGGAGGCGTTGGAGGAGATTCAGGTAAACAGGTAATGTTGGAGGCATTGGAGGAGATTTAGGTAAACAGTTAATGTTGGAGGCATTGGAGGAGAATCAGGTAAATATTTGATGTTGGAGGCATCGGAGAAGAATCAGGTAAATATTTAATGTTGGAGGCATTGGAGGAATCAGATAAATATTTGATGTTGGAGGCATTGGAGGAGAATCAGGTAAATATTTAATGTTGGAGGGATTGGAGGAGAATCAGGTAAATATTTGATGTTGGAGGCATTGGAGGAGAATTAGGTAAATATTTAATGTTGGAGGCATTGGAGGAGAATCAGGTAAATATTTAATGTTGGAGGCATTGGAGGAGAATCAGGTAAGTATTTAATGTTGGAGGCGTTGGAGGAAAATCAGGTAAATATTTAATGTTGGATGCGTTGGAGGAAAGTTCCATTTTCAAGGGGGGCATGTTAGTAGTATTTTTTAGGCATCTAGAGCTAGATATATATAAATCATGAAATACAAAAAAAATCAAAAAATTGTGAAATGCTTTATCAATGTGAACTCCTGATGTTTTTATGATATGTTTTTGTTTTCATAAACATGGGTTCTTCACAAGAATATTTAACATTTTACCAATGTGCAATAACCTTACAACGCAATTAAAGCTTGCGATTTTAAACCCAATCATTAAAAAAAATTGTATTCATTATCATCATTATTATTGTTATTATTATTATTATTATTATTATTATTATTATTTATATTCTATTTATTCGTACACAATTATAATGGTACAATTTAAAATCAACGAGAAATGAGATATATAATACATAAAATATAGAATTAATATAAAGTCGAAAACAATCAAATAAAATAAAAAAAATAAAAACTTAGTTAGTTTTTACATATATCATCAATAATTACATCTATTTCATTATAGTTAAATCCTTCTAAAACATTTGGATTTGACCGGATTAATAGTAAATCTTTTAACAGTGGAATTCTCCACGCACATTCAGCCGCAATGCAATTCATCAACTGGTATTATAATAATTTCAAATGACTCTCCAATTTCCATGCAAACAGGGCAATAACTGTACTAATAACTGCTTTGCCTGATCAAGTATGAATTAGATATCAATGTTTATAATTTTACTGTCACTGAAATTATAATTACAGTCCCTTTAAAAAGGAACCCAAATATCTACTTCCAGGAGACTATGGTGGAGATGATGAGAACGGAGCAGAGGATAAGAGCGGAGAAGATATCTCTCTCCAGTGATAAGAAGAACCTGGAGAAGCTCAAACAATCTGGATTCTGTCAAAACTGTTCAACCTTGAGACGAGCAACTTCTGCCTCAAATCTAAGGTATGATAAGGATATCTTTCAGTCAGATGGGGACTGAGCCCCCCCTCTCTCAGGCGGGGACTGAGCCCCTCCCCCCTCCCTTTCTCTCAGGCGGGGACTGAGCCCCCCCTTCCCTCTCTTTATCAAATTTTTTTAGATTTGGCGATCGAGGACGCGGTGTAGCCTGGCAGGACACGGAGACAGGACGGGGTAAATCTCCGATTGCGTCCTCTTGGATGGATATTGATGCACAAACCTTACAAAGAGGGAAATATTTCTCCAGGTAGGGTTTAACATACAGAATCTTCAATATTTCTCCAGGTAGGGATTATCATACAGAATCTTCAATATTTCTCCAGGTAGGAATTATCAGACAGAATCTTTAATATTTCTCCAGGTAGGGATTATCATACAAAATCTTAAATATTTCTTCAGGTATGGATTAGTATAAAGAATCTTCAATATTTCTAAAGGTAGGGATTAGAATACAGACTCTTCCATATTTCTCCAGGTATGGATTAGTATAAAGAATCTTCAATATTTCTAAAGGTAGGAATTAGCATAGAGAATCTTCCATATTTCTCCAGGTAAATTCAAATTTGTAGTTTTGGCGTTTAAGCTCGACATGTAAGTTGTTTGTATACTAAAGTATAAAAAATGTAGAAAAAATAGTATTCTTAATATTTTAGAGATGGGTTTCACAAGTCGCCCGGAGATGGGGCAAGTTTTGAGGCTTTAGACTCAACCCTATCCGCGCTCAAGAGAGAATCGGAGAATGACCACAGGAAATCCAATTTTTAAAATTAAAAAATATTCCTTGTTAAATTGTCAGTGTCTCATAAATCCGCTAAGTCAATTTAAGATAGAAAAACAAAGATATCTTAATCATCGTTTATGCCGACTAAGAAAACCTTGATCATAACTTTTTAAGAAAGGAAATCTTAAGTGTCCATTTCCAAGGATGAAATTTTATAATTAATGAGAAAGGTCAAGCCAAGGCTGAATTGTACAGTTCAGTAAACTCATTGGTCAAAGATAAACTTTGTCTGATTTCTTAATCTTTGAGATTAATCCAATGATTAATCCAATGATTAATCCAATGATTAATCCAATGATTAATACAATGATTAATCCGCATCAAATTGAACCACTACGGCTGGACATGTTACCCCTGCTACTCAACTTATTATAAATGAAATAAATTGAGTAACAAACCAGTTGCTTTTCTTAATAAAACCCTGGGTTTTACACCTGGATGAACCAACCCTGGGTATTAAACCTGGATGAACCAACTCTGGGTATTAAACCTGGATGAACTAAACTTGGTTTACACCTGAATGAAACAACCCTGGGTATTAAGCTTGGAGGAACCAACCCTAGATATTAACCTACCGTGGGTATTAAACTGAGATTAACCAACCCTGGGTATCAAAGTTGGATTAACCAACCCTGGGTATTGAACTGGGATTAACCTACCCTGGGTATTAAACTGGGATTAACCAACCCTGGGTATTAAACTGGGATTAACCTACCCTGGGTATTAAACTGGGATTAACCAACCCTGGGTATTAAACTGGGATTAACCTACCCTGGGTATTAAACTGGGATTAACCTACCCTGGGTATTACACCTGAGCTGAAAACTGTGGAATGAGATATCCTTAATCCCAATTACTTAATCACAGTATCCAAAGGAAACACTTTTGATTTTCTTCTTAAACCATCCCTCCCGTTTCTGTGTATAATTAATCTTAAATGGCGCGCAAAATTTCAAATTTATCGGCTTCATATATGCGACTTTGATTGGTTGAATTTTATACCATATTAAAAAAAAAGATAGGATAAAGCATTAATCTCAATATCCACAATTCTAAAGTTTTTAGCTCTGGTTTTTGAATTACATACTAGACCTCTCGAAGGTCTAGGCGGGCTGGGGTAACAGCCTTGGCTGCATGATGATACTTCCAACATGCGGCCTGACCCAGGTCGTATTTACCTGTATACGATCCTAACAGGCCCCCTACCCTGAGGCTCACATCTCATTATCTAATGGGGGTGCTGATGGGTCGCGTTACTCGTTTTTTCTTAGATCACTGAGGCCTTCGTTATAAATAAAACTCTGATATCTAGCAAACATGAGAAATAAAAAAAAATAATAAAATTGGATGAATAAGGTTTCTCCATGATGAGATGGAATACTTGAAATCTGTTAAGAGAATAAATATGAAAACTGTAAATAAATACCAAAATCCTGGATAATTTTTTCCCAAAAAATAAAGATTATCTGTTAAATATCTTGATTTAAAACGAGAAAAAGACAGATTCATCCATGTTTGCCCTTCTATTCTCTCAATACAGCTTTGTTTGCCCTTCTATCCTCTCAATCCGTCCTTGTATAATGTATATCCTTCTATCCTCTCAATCCATCCTTGTTTATCCTTCTATCCTCTCAATCCATCCTTGTTTATCCTTCTATCATCCTCTCAATCCATCCTTGTTTATCCTTCTATCCACGCAATCCATCCTTGTTTATCCTTCTATCCTCTCAATCCATCCTTGTTTATCCTTCTATCCATTCAATCCGCCATTGTTTATCCTTCTATCCTCTCAATACATCCTAGTTTATCCTTCCTCTCAATCCATCCTTGTTTATCCTTCTATCCACGCAATCCATCCTTGCTTATCCTTCTATCCACTCAATCCATCCTTGTTTATCCTTCTATCCTCTCAATCCATCCTTGTTTATCCTTCTATTCTCTCAATCCATCCTTAGTTATCCTTTTATCCTCTCAAATCATCCTTGTTTATCCTTCTATCCTCTCAATCCATCCTTGTTTATCCTTCTATCCTCTCAATACATCCTTGTTTACCTTTCTATCCTCTCAATCCATCCTTATTTACCCTTCTATCCTCTCAATCCATCCTTGTTTACCCTTCCATCCTCTCAATCCATCCTTGTTTATCCTTCCTCTCAATCCATCCTTGTTTATCCTTCTATCCTCTCAACCCATCCTAGTTAATCCTTCCTCTCAATCCATCCTTGTTTATCCTTCTATCCTCTCAATCCATCCTTGTTTATCCTTCTATCCTCTCAACCCATCCTTGTTTATCCTTCTATCCTCTCAATCCATCTTAGCTTATCCTTCCTCTCAATCTACCCTTTTTTCACAGTTTTTTAATGTTTTTTTGTTCACCCTGTTTAAGGAGTAATCTTTAAAAAACCTTTATATCTGAGACACGCTGTATATACAGGGTTACCCACAAACGATGAGACTTTAAAATCGACCTGAAACTTATATTATAAGAAGATCCCTAGGCTAAATCGAGTATTCTGTCTTATTTATTGATTTTTAAAGTTGCAGGGAATCACGTATATTTTAGGAGACACACAACATAGATTCTGTACAGTCGTCTCTAAAATTTCATTCTTTGTGGGTAGCCCTGTATGAAGTATGATTCAACGAGGTTATAGAACACAAAATCACGCAATGTATATGTATACAGGTAGTGATTAGTCCTATAGGTGGAGGAACCCAAGGTAGAGTAAACCGGTGTATATTAGTTCTATAGTTCGAGTATCTGTAGTGCAGTGAGCTGAGACATCTTCAACATTACGCAATCATACACCTCATCTTTACTATATAACTTGAAGATACTTAAAACTGATCTTAAAAATAAGATTTTTTTCTGTCCGTCAAGCGTTTCGTGTTTTAATAAATGTAATGTTAATTTTTTTTCGAAAATGAATTAAATTTTAAAAGGCAGTAATTTCCAAGCTAGGGAACGATTTTTGGACCCCCCCCCCCCCCGCCCGTAGCCAGGGGGGGGGG